TCTGATCCAAAACGCTGCGTTTCCCCTCCTGATTCCACTCTTCTTCATATTTCCTTCCCCAAAACCCAACCTGGAAACAGTCTCCAATCAATCCAACAATGGCTGGTTTCGAGTTCTCTCGCTCTATGTTTCTCTCGGTGTCCTTGTCTCTGTTTATAGCAAGTTGTATGCGCTTGCAAAGTTATACGTAGGATGGGGGATATTGGTTTCAACTCAACTGATACTTACCTCCCTCTTCTCAGCTTTCATAAACCGTCTCAAGTTTAACAGATGGATCATCATATCGATAATCCTCACTCTTGCCGCCGACTTTTTTGGCGGCCCTGCGTTTGCAGGAACCCCTGATGAAGATGAATCTGATCCTTACGATATCAAGGCATGGTTGATACTCATATTCCCTACTCTTGCTTTCTCCTTGTCTCTGTGCCTAATCCAGCACGGGTTCGAAAAAGTGTTGGTAAAGACAAAGAGGTATGGTAATAAGAAGGTGTTTCGCATGGTCTTGGAGATGCAAATCTGTGTTTCCTTCATAGCCACGCTCATTTGCACTGTCGGTCTGTTTGCTAGTGGTGAGTTTAAGGAGTTAGAAGGCGATAGCGAGAGGTTTAAGAGAGGGAAAACTTACTACATTCTGAGTTTAGCCGGGTTGGCTCTCTCTTGGCAGGTTTGGGCGGTCGGACTGTTAGGTCTGGTGCTTTTAGTGTCTGGTTTATTCGCTGACGTTGTTCATATGTGTGCTTCACCAGTTGTGGCTCTGCTTGTTGTGTTGGCTTTTGATTTCATGGACGATGACTTTGGTTGGCAGAGAAGAGGTGCTTTGCTAGGAGCAGTTTTGGCTCTAGCTTCTTACTTCTACTCCCTGTACAAAACAAAGAGGAAGGAGACCGCAGAGCTGAACAAAAGAGAGAACAACAACAGCGAAGCTTAGTCTCTGTTTTGTCTACAATATGTACAGATGATACTCTTATTACTTGTTGTGTCTTGCAGATACAAATACTGAGTTTGTCCTGCAAGTGTCCTTTATTGATTCAGAAGTTGTATACATCCAAATGAGAGACTAAAAATACATCCGTGATGATATATCTCAACAACAGCTACAAATAATCCTCTCGCAGATACATAAAGTCGAATTTACGAGGTTTCCGTGTGGATGAGTTTGAAATGTCTGTAGAATATGCGTAAAACTTCTCTCACATAACCCATTCCTCAAATCTACCAAGTTTATTTGAAGAATTCTTCTTCCAGAATGGTTTGATTGCCGTGAAATTCCCGGTTTTCTGTACGCAAAGAATAGCTTCATCAATCAACCAAACATAAGAGTAGAGCATTGTGATAAGTATGCACATGACCACAAGCTAAAATACCTTAAGACAGAGACTTCTGGTTGTATCACAAACCGGGTAATCATGTGGACAACAATGACGACCATCCTTGCAACACACAGCAGATTCTATCTCGCAGCATTTCCATGAGAGACATAATCCAAACAAGTTTCTTGCACAGCAACAAGTCTCTGCAGCTGAACAATAGGTGAAAAGGTTGCATTTTGTGGGGCCGGGAGGGGATGGTGGAGGCGGGTTTGGATGTGTCTTGATGGGATATGAAGCAAGCATATTGATTCCGCATATCCCTTGTGAATTTCCAGTGTTACGCTGCATGTGCATAAACCCATCCATTCCCCAACTTTTTCCCCAAGAGTTTTTCACAATCCAATAATCAACACCATTCTGTGAACCATATCCTACTATGAGCACAGCGTGATCCAATGATGTCGAACACGGGCCAGAGAATATTCCCTGCATCATAAGGTAAAGTTTCAAACAAGGAAACGTTGAACATTCAGAAGATAGAATAGATGTATCTCTAATCTTAAAACTTACACTAGAATATAACTGAAATGCTCTCTCGCTTCCACAGATGCCGACACTAACTGGCTGAGCTGCTACAGCCTCCAATAACGCCTTCTCATCACTTGGTTTTACACCAGCATAGCTATCAATTGACACAACCCGTTGTTTCAACTGCAGAACAAGAGAGATTAATGTACGTTAGTGACGTCAAAGATCAAGGAAACAAACAAGGAAGAGAAGATAAAGAAGGAGAAAACTAAACGGATACCTTATCCTTCTTACAGGTGCCATCGCGTTCTTGATAAGGATAGTCTTTCTCTGTGTCTATTCCCTTGTTTTTTATGACAAATTCAAAAGCATAGTCCATGAGACCACCATTGCAGCCATCATTGTAGGACTTGTCACAATCAATCAGTTCCTGCTCAGAGAGGCTGATGAGATCTCCTGTAACAATCTGGTTGATTCCCTCCATAGCTCCAGTAGCAGAGAACGACCAACACGCCCCTATAAATGAAGTAGAACATCATCAACCACACAAATAATCAACATGGATGCATCCGAGAAAACACATTACTATTTCTGACCAAATTCCTACATTTGTCCATTCTACCAAAGTATAACTGCTATAGAAGAAATAAAAATGATTGCTTCTAGACTTTCCTAAAAAGGTTCAATCAGTTTAATACTCTCAGCCATAATTAGACATGGATAAAAGAAAGAAAAGTAAACTTATTATACTCCAAAAAAATTCCAAAAAGCGTGAAAGAGATGCAAAATTAGATTACTGTGACAAACTAAGGCATGATTGGTCTTCCTGTAACATACTATATAAGTATAACTACAGAAGATGAAATTTGCATCCTTAAAAGACTCTAAAGTTTGAGAATTTATCCGATAAAAATTCAATCTTAAGGTTCCGGTTCTAAAGTCTTGATCTTGAATCACCCCCTAAGTGGCTGAGCTAAAGAAGCTCTTATCAAATCTGAAACTCGATGAAAAGGAAACAGAACAAAATCTAGAAGAAATATACCGCAGCTTCCTTGGTCTTTGACATTAGTAACAGCTCCTTTCTTCCTCCAATCAAGAGAATCTGGAACCTTGACGCTACCACCCAGACTCTTCCCCTTACTAGCCATTATCACCGAAGGCGCCGAAACAGAGAGTCCAAGACGAGAGGTCTTGAACTCGCTGTGATTCAGATCCGCGAAGGCATTGAGGGAGAGAGAATAAGTAGCGTTAGTGATGAGATTGTGCTGGGTAACGAAGTCGTGATTGTCTCTAAAGATTTGAAATCTGTGTTGCTTCTCTGCTTCCGAAGCGTAAGTTTTGCCATGTCTCTGGCACCAGTCGTCGAACAGCTCGGAGATATCATCGGAAGATGAAGATGAAGATGAAGAAACGAGAAGAAGGAAGAAGAAAGTGAGAGAGACGAAGGACAAGGATGACATTGACATTTCGGTAAAGAGAGAGTCGTGGAGATAGTTTTGGCCCTATAAACAAGGAAGTGCCTCGAGATTTGATTGTTTTTCCCATTTATTGTGAGATTTTTGCCAGTAAAGAAGAAGATTACAAAACGTTGGTTTGCGTTTGCGTTTTAAAAAAAAGCTTTTGGCATTGTTTATTGCCACGTGTTGATGTGATTAACCACCGGATAGAATGGTTCTGAACAAAAAAACAAAAATGATTGAGGCAGAAGAAGTGAGGCACGTTTACAATGTTTAATTATACTCGTATCACTTGTACTTGTGATGTAGTATAAGATATTTTTAGAAACAATGCAGAACAAACAATTACGTTTTTTTTTTCCCGAGGCTTGTATGATTCACACAGCCTTGTATCGGGCCAGAGAGGCCCATATCCAAACACAATAGCTTCCAACTACTATTGAGTACACACACACACACAAATGTGTAAAAATCCTTGTTATGTTGTTCGTTTGGTCAACACTAAAATCATTGTTAAATGGTACTAAATATATCTAATCTTACTTTAAATAAGCAAAAGAAAGCAGCAACTTTAAGGCTTTTTATAGGTTATAAAAGACCACCACTCCCTATTCTTGTGTGTAGGCTAATGAGAGCAGTACACTTTGGACCTACTTACGACTTTATTGCATTACCCCCCTTGGTTACTACATTTGCATACCACACTATATATATATATATATTTTTATTAGTAAAGAGGATCACGCGGAGACCAGAGTGTAGCAGTAACTAAAGCAATGTCCATGCCTAACGTATTTTCAAGATATCTATAACCAAAAGCAAATAATGATCAATCTTTTCGTATTTTTATATCTAAAATTTAGTAGAAGACGACTTATTATAATCATAGAACCAACGACGAAGAAACAAACACATCCTTACACTGTTTAATCACCAATCAAACCCGAGACAGAACCATCATCGGCCACACACACACAAAGAAGAAAAATAAATTAAGGTGTGGCATGGCGTTCAGCCTTACCTAACTGTCGACAGGTAAAGGCGACTTTTACGAAAGTGGCTTTCTATTTTTTTTTTTTATTTTCTTTCCCACGAAAACAACAGTATATTATATTTCACTAGAAAACTACAAGAACATAGTGTTGTTTAAGTGATATATATATAAAATTAAAAGGCATAGATTATAGTATTTCTCCCATATAATGTAGATGCTACTATTTTGGAGTGGAGGCTGGAATGTCTTGACAAAGAAACATAAATGCATGATGAATATTGAAGTGATTTAATTATGTATGTTAATTAGGCACAAAATGTTATTTTGCGTTTGTAAGTTTTTCCACTATAGCTGAAATAAGTTTGTAGACCAAAAGGTTTGAATATCAGCGTTAAACAATATTTAGGTAGGCTGAGGTTTGAAAATTGAGTTCCAATGCTATGATATTTGGGGACCATCATATAAAAAAGAGCTTTGTAAGAAAGAAAAATTTGAACATATTTGTCTACTAATTGAAATTTGAAAAACTATTCAACTTATCAACTTTATGGTTTAGTGATTTTTATTTTTATTTGTTTAGTTGTATTGTAAAAACAAAATACACTACTAATTAAGTATTAGACAAAAAATCTTTTGGAAAAAGATAATATATATTTCATGCTAATAATGATGAGCTGTCGTCTCATATTCTCGTTTGATTCAAAACGGTAGAAATCGACAAAGCAAGGGTGTGAAGAAGAAGACGAAGAAAAAGTTGGGAAACCAAATTGACGCAGAAGCTAGAAATTATCTAAAGGTTTAGCCTTTCCAATCCGATCAAAATCACCGAGAGAAAAAAAAACACTGTTTACTTTCTTCTCCATGTGAATGAATCTCTTCAATTGAAGAAGAAGAAGACAATCGTCAAATGCTTGACTTTGGTTTCAGTTCTTCTTCACCACAGCTCAAGGTGATCATCTTTTTTTTTTTTTTTTTTTTGCTCTTATATGACTTAATCATATCGCTGCGAATCTTTTGAAAAGTTTTGCTCTTTATTCTCTCAATGTGCTTTGAGCTGGTTGTTGAACTAGGGTTCTTCTGGGTAGTAACTGTTTTGCTGATTTTTCTGAGCTGCTTTTGGTTACATAAATCGAGTTCTCAAATCAATTTTAGTCGGCAGTGGATCTGATCGGTCTCAATTGCGCTGGGTTTCATCTCTGTTCCTATCCCGTAACAGTGTACCACTAGCTCAAAGTTCATCAGTGTTTACACAAGTTAAAATTTTCCTGTTTACCTGACTATTTACTTTTTTTTTGCATCAGTTCATGATCTTTCTAAGATCATAATCTTTGAGAGATAGTAGGCCTCTATCTAATGCAAATGACCTTGAAATTCTACTAGGAAGATCGGTTCTTTGATGGGATGGGACACCAAATCACCATGGGTTGTGATGCTATCAAATACTAGTTCGTGTTATCTTCAGAATAAATATCATGGCATCTTCTGGACTGGGAAATGGGGTAGGCAGTTCGAGATCTGCCAAAGGTTTAAAGAGCTCTTCTAGTTCGGTCGATTGGTTGACAAGAGACTTGGCTGAGACAAGGATAAGGGACAAGGTAGAGACCGATGATGAGAGAGTAAGTCTTGCTTTACTTACTTGTTTTGCTTTCATGTTTATTCAACTGTTTTAGCTTGACTTTCTTATCACGAGCTTATGTATGTTATGGAGTAGTTTACAGTGTCTGACGTTTTTGTTATGTTGCAGGATAGTGAACCAGATATTATTGATGGGGCTGGTGCTGAACCTGGTCAGGTGATTAGAACCACTGTCCGTGGTCGAAATGGCCAATCAAGACAGGTTGGATGGTTACGGATGATTGTATGTGTTAGTTGGTAATGTAGTTATCTAACGGTTTCTCATACATCTCTATTTTATTTTTTGGCTCGGCAGACAGTCAGTTATATATCAGAACATGTTGTTGGTACTGGTTCCTTTGGCATGGTTTTCCAAGTAAGTTAATTTAACATCCATGATGTTCTTCTTTCCATTCATTCCGCTCCATTTCCCACACATTTATGTTTCCTTCTGGTAGGCTAAATGTAGGGAAACTGGGGAGGTTGTTGCCATCAAGAAGGTTCTACAAGACAAGCGTTACAAAAACAGGGAGCTACAAATAATGCAGATGCTAGACCATCCCAATGTCGTTGCTTTAAAGCATAGCTTCTTCTCAAGAACAGACAATGAAGAGGTTTATTTGAATCTTGTCCTTGAATTTGTGCCTGAGACTGTCAATCGTGTTGCAAGAAGTTACAGTAGGACGAATCAACTGATGCCACTGATATACGTTAAACTTTATACCTATCAGGTAACTATCTTCTGGATTTAAAAAAATATTTTCTCTTTTGTAGATTTTAATTTCATGAAGCGTCAACATAAGCACTCACTTAAAATTTTGAGGCTTGCTTTGTTTCACTGAAGATATTAATATCAATTGATTTTGTGTATGTCAACTGGATTCTTGTGGCTCTTCCCAGAATAGTTGGGTGGTAATTTCACCCTGACTTGCTAGGTGAATGTAAAACTCATTCTTGGTTGACCATGTGATAACTATTCAGACTAGTTTGCAATTTTCATTATCCGCCAATGACTTGCTGTAAACTATACCCTTGGTAAAGAGACTATTAGACAATTAACTTTCACCTTGATTTTGGGAGGTCTCCCCTGTGAAAGGGAGTAGCCTTCTTTAGTCCTACTATCTTCTATTCATGTTTTGACACATTGCTTCTACACCTGGATTTCTAAGAAATTCTCTAAAGCTTTTTTTATCACTATAATTTTCCTTCTATGCCTTTTTTTTATTTATTCCACATTATAATCTATGACTCCCTTCCTATCAATTTACAGCATGACACCATCTCATGTTCTTCCATAATCTTCCAAAGTGTTTCTGTATTTTGTGTTAGTTATGGAATGCTTTGAATGTATAATGAGTTTGTAACTGCATGCCAGGCTTATATTTTGCTGGGTTTGCTCCAAATATTTGACAAGTTTCTGTTTATGATTACAGATTTGCAGGGCACTTGCTTACATTCATAATTCCTTCGGTCTTTGTCACCGTGATATTAAGCCTCAAAACCTGCTAGTAAGTTCCATTTGTGTCCCCTGTTTCGAAAGAAATATATAACACTACTTTTATAGCTCTCTGTCTCTATGAGAAGGAATTATAAACACACAGTCATATATTCTTTACATTTGATGATGTCATACTAGGTTTAGAATCTGACGTGATAAATGTATGTTTATAACATGTCTGGAGGTCTAACAATAAATGTATGGTATTACGAGGCTCTTAATACCATTAATTTCAGTGGCACTAGGCTTTTCTTTTTGAGTTTATTGTATTGAGAAAGCTTAATATTGAAAGGATTCTGGAAACTAACTTTGAGAAAATAGTTGTACTTTTGAGCTGGTTTTGATTTAAAGTAACATGTCTGTGCTTAACTTATCTGCACCTGATTAGGTTGTTTATCTAAAGAAAAGTTTTCCTGTTTAAATTTAACTGCATTTATATCTGACTTTACCGATGTTGTTGTGTAGGTGAACCCACACACGCATCAGCTAAAAATCTGCGATTTTGGGAGTGCAAAAGTGTTGGTAATGTTCATTGACTCAATTTTAATATTCATTAGGGGATCATTATGGGAGTATGACTCGTTCTCGTACTCTATAGGTAAAAGGAGAACCCAATGTTTCATACATCTGTTCAAGATATTATCGTGCTCCAGAACTCATTTTTGGTGCCAGTGAATATACAACTGCAATAGATATATGGTCCACTGGTTGTGTGATGGCCGAACTGCTTCTTGGACAGGTTAAAGCACGATTATTGCATTAGCTATATTTTTCTGTGCTACTCATTCAGTTTCTTCCTTGTCTTACTTATTATGTGCCCTTGCTACTTATCGTACAGCCTCTGTTTCCTGGTGAGAGCGGAGTCGATCAGCTTGTGGAAATCATTAAGGTAGCCTATTGTTAATTCTTAAAATTCATCTAAAATATGAAGCTATTAAATTTTTGGGCTTGGCGGTGCCTGATAAGTGCTTTTAGAACTTTGGTTTACAGGGTTAGTCCTCTATCTTTACCAGACTATGGTGCAGATAATCAACTTTATATCTAAATGGCTACCAGGCTTTTGAGTCACAGTTCATTATGTCTATTAACTGAGTTTGTATTTAGTAAACTTTGGACTGCGCAGCTTGATTTTGAGGAAACCTTTCTATTCCTATTTTATGTGCTTTATATCTCTTTCAGGTTTTAGGTACACCAACAAGGGAAGAAATCAAGTGCATGAATCCAAACTACACAGAATTTAAGTTTCCCCAGATAAAACCTCATCCATGGCACAAGGTATGCCTTCTAATGTTATTGATTATCACCTACCAGGATATTCTTTAATCAGTTGTCTTGTTGGTAATGCATCTTTTCAAAGAGGTGTTCTGGTATCTGTGATGGTTTGGAGTATGAATAAAAAATAAATGTATATTGTCATTTCCTCTGGCTTATAAATCTATCTATGGTAGAGTTGAAAACTCGGTCCATAGTAAAAAAAGGTTTGATTGGCTTCAGTTATTATTGGTAGCTCATTAAGCTTCGCATCTCTGTGGATCCTTATTACTGCTTGAATATTCTGTTTTGTGTTCAGGTATTCCAAAAACGCTTGCCACCAGAAGCAGTTGATCTTCTTTGTAGGTTCTTTCAATATTCCCCTAATTTGAGATGCACTGCTGTAAGTAAATTCTCACTTTTCCCCTTCATTGTGTAATACTTTTCAGTTGTTCCATATCCGCATCTAATGATCCAAACCCATTAAAACACTTCCGTGTTATTGTAGTTGGAAGCTTGTATTCATCCGTTATTTGATGAGCTAAGGGACCCAAACACTCGTCTTCCCAATGGCCGACCACTTCCTCCACTTTTCAACTTCAAACCGCAAGGTACAGTTCCCTTAGTTTTCTTGTTTGACCTCTTAGGAGATCTAACATTTATATATGATCTATTAAGTTGTTGACATGTTGTGTTTTGTTAATGATTGCTGATAAAATTCACCCTCAAAACCTCATTTAGTGTTAGTTTGAATATTGAGCGTGCTAAATAAATTGAAGTCACAAGTATGTATTGGTGACCATTGTGGCCTCTGAAATATTCGAATGCTAAGCAACAATAAACACTTTGTTCTCCATAGGCATGAATCTGTGATCCTTACTTTTAATTTTCAGTAATTGAAAATCATGTAGTGATGATTCTGTGTGTTGCAGAGCTATCTGGCATCCCTCCTGAGATTGTGAACAGGCTTGTCCCAGAGCATGCCCGTAAACAGAACCTCTTCATGGCTTTGAATTCGTAAGACGCTTATCGGTTTTTGCATCTGTATAAGCTCTCTCTTGATATCAGATATTTGGAACAGCCTCTTGGCTTTTGGTTTTGGCGAGTTCTTTTTCTTCCTTTGTATGGTTTATATGGAGATGAGGATGCATGTATACAAACAGTACTTGAGGTTTGCTGGTTATAAACCACTTGTTTGTTTCACAGCCACCATATATAACCGTTTCTATCACAAAATGGATTCTTTTTGAAGCATTTAAATGTGGGTTTAAGGAAAAACATAGAAAGGACAAATCATACATATTTACTGGGTGATCTTGGGCGACTACACTTTTTTATTAACCCGGATTGTAATTGAGTGGGCGAATACACATAATAGACAACATAATTGATCATGATTACTGTGAATATCTCTCTAAATTGTTCGTTCTTTAATTGAAAGAAAAAGTGAACCCAAAGACAATTAGAAGGAAACAGTTTGAAATTTAAACCCTTGACGACGACGACGACGACGCTGGTCCAAGTCCAAAACTCTCAAGCCCGCAACTTTGACAGTCTCAGTCTCTCTTGCCTCTCTTTCGCAAACTTCGAACATGTCGTTGCGTACATCTAGTTTCCATCCTTCATCGTCGTCTATCAATCTCTTCTCCAGCAACCCAACTAAACCCTTTCTTCTCTCCCTCAGAATCGCCACCTCCAAGTCTCTTCCTTTAATTGCTCCTCTCAAATTCTCCTCCACCAATCACGTCCTTAGCTCTTCCACCCGACTCCACAGACGCCAGTATATTCTCCGGTGCGTAGCAGAGCAGTCCCAGCCGTCTGTTTCGGCCGTTTCCGGCGGCTCTGGTAAAATCCGGCAATACCCTTTTTCTCTCTTTAGGTTGGTGTCATTCGCTAGTTTATCTGTGTCTTTGGCCCATTCATTGATAAATCAATCTGGTAGATTATAGTTGCTGAGTGTGAGTGTAGAGAGATTGAATTTGAAAGCTAATGCTCCATCGTTTTTAACATTGGTTTCTGATAGAATTATATTGGGCTATGACTATGAGTAACTAAACACCAGTGATTGTAAGTTTATAACCAGCGGATTTTTTGTAATTTCGTTTTTATTTCTGCAGAAGAGAGAGTTAATGTTCTTGTAATCGGTGGAGGAGGGAGAGAACACGCTCTTTGCCACGCCTTGAAACGATCTCCATCTTGTGCTTCTGTGTTATGCGCACCTGGAAATGCTGGTATCTCCACTTCCGGAGATGCTACTTGCATACCTGACCTTGACATATCAGACAGTTCAGCTGTGATTTCCTTTTGTCAAAAATGGAATGTTGGGTTAGTGGTTGTTGGACCTGAAGTGCCTCTTGTTGCGGGTCTCGCTAATGACTTGGTTAAGGCCGGTATCCTCACCTTTGGCCCTTCTTCTCAAGCTGCGGCCTTGGAAGGTTCCAAAAACTTTATGAAGAATCTTTGCCACAAGTACAATATCCCTACTGCTAAGGTTTGCGTCGCTAGCTCTTTTTCATTTTTTCCTGATGATTTATCAATTTCTTCCTTGATGTGTTAGGATCCATAAGGCATCGGCTCAACTTTTAGCTATAGGCCTGTTATAATCTACCGTAGAACTTAATAGAGCTGTTGGAAGTTGGTTATTGAGGGCTTAGTTTAGAAGAATGTCTCAGCAGATTGTTTTGGGATATGTGGTTAAGGGCTCAGTAAATTGGTGGAATAAAAGTAGCAGATTCATAGCTTTGTGTTTATCCTAAGGATTCCAATTTGATGGCTTATACAGTAATATTGAATCAAATTCAAGTGCAGTATAAAACATTTTCTGATGCATCTGCTGCGAAAGAATACATTCAAGAACAAGGGGCACCGATTGTGATTAAAGCGGATGGATTAGCTGCTGGAAAAGGTGTCACTGTTGCCATGGAACTAGAGGAGGCTTTTGAAGCTGTTGATTCGATGCTGGTCAAAGGTGTGTTTGGTTCTGCAGGATGTCAGGTGGTCGTGGAGGAGTTTCTCGAGGGAGAAGAAGCCTCCTTTTTCGCACTTGTGGATGGAGAAAATGCCATTCCTCTAGAATCTGCTCAGGACCACAAGCGGGTTGGAGATGGAGATACCGGTCCTAACACAGGCGGAATGGGAGCGTATTCTCCTGCACCGGTCTTGACCAGGGAGCTTCAGGATTATGTGATGGAGTCTATAATTCATCCCACTGTTAAAGGAATGGCGGAAGAGGGATGTAAGTTTGTTGGCGTTTTGTTTGCGGGTCTCATGATCGAGAAGAAATCCGGTTTGCCCAAGCTGATTGAGTTCAATGTCCGGTTTGGAGATCCAGAATGTCAGGTTAGAAACGCACCCTGTTGGAAAATAACTGGTTTAGTCTAGGTTATATGTTATTCTCTTGTTCTCAACAATGCAGCTTCTTGACCACAGGTATTGATGATGCGTCTAGAGTCTGATCTAGCAAAAGTTTTGCTAGCGGCTTGTAAAGGCGAGCTAAGTGGCGTGTCGCTTGATTGGTCAAAAGATTCAGCAATGGTGGTTGTAATGGCAAGCAATGGTTATCCAGGTGCTTATGAGAAAGGAACAATCATCGGAAACCTTGAAGAAGCTGAAACGGTTGCTCCTGGAGTGAAGGTTTTCCACGCAGGAACGGATCTTGATTCAGAGGGGAATGTTGTAGCCACTGGGGGACGTGTTCTTGGAATCACGGCGAAGGGTAACGACTTGGAAGAGGCTCGTGACAAAGCTTATTCAGCGGTTCAACAGATCAACTGGCCTGAAGGTTTCTTTAGGCGTGATATTGGTTGGAGAGCGCTTCGCCAGAAACAAGTGGCGGTGACGAAAGAAGAATGATTAGAAGAAATTTTGTTGTAATGTCCTGAAAACCGAGAAACCAAAACTTAAAAACTCACTCCAATTCCAATCATCCAAATTTTGTTGTATTATTTTTATAAACTCACTCCAATATTTCATGCGTTGAGGTAAGCAATGTAGGTTTGCTATTTAAGTAAGGTCTAGCTATAAATTTCGTTAGTTTCATAAATTTGTGAACTTATGGGAGCCATTCATAAAGAAATATCTGATATTGTATATGGCTGGCGCCTGGCAGGTTCAAAATTCCAAAATGCTCTCCATCTCGAGTCGTAAGGAGAAAAATCTCGAACTTCATAGATGTGTGTGATTGGGACAGATAGTTTCTCTAGACATTTCAGTGGTAGTTTCGTAAGAAAATTGCAAAGAAAAAATCCAACATTGTATATTGTAAAGTTCGAGGTAAAAACGAAAGAGAGATGCTACTACAACGGGTGCAAAACCCCAAACCCTAAATTTTTAAAAAAATCCCAAGTCTTCCTCTCCTATCTCGAATCAATGTTCCCCAAATCCTTAGCCACAAGTAGAAATATCTCGAATTTTATTCAAAAATTCTCTGGTTTGAGTAGACTCTGTTCTTCTTCCGTTACGATCGCCGGGAGCCCTTGCTCACCTAGATATGACGTATCTGTCATCGCTGATCTTATAGAGAAGCAGCACTGGTCTAAGCTTGGATTCCATGTGAAAGACATAAACCCTAACGAGCTGTTCCAACAGCTGATGAGTTCTGAGCTTGACCCAGATTTGTGTCTCAGGTACTATACTTGGCTAGTGAAGAACCGTAACATCTCCGTTTCGCTAGAGCTCACGTTTAAGCTTTTGCATTCTCTTGCTAATGCGAAAAGGTACTCTAAGATCCGATCTTTCCTTGATGGGTTTGTGAGGATTGGATCCGATCATCCGGTTCACTCGATTCTCCATGCTATTTCAATGTGTGACAATGTTTGCGTCAATTCGATTCTAGCTGATATGTTGGTATTGGCATATGCGAACAATTCGAGATTCGAGTTAGCATTTGAGGCGTTTAAGCGTTCAGGTTATTATGGGTATAAGTTATCGGCTTTGTCTTGTAAGCCTTTGATGATTGCGTTGCTGAAGCAGAATCGTTCTGCGGATGTTGAATATGTATACAAGGAGATGATTAGGAGAAAGATTCAACCAAATGTCTTCACTTTCAATGTCGTGATCAACGCCTTGTGCAAAACAGGGAAAATGAATAAAGCGAGGGACGTTATGGAGGATATGAAAGTGTATGGATGTTCTCCAAACGTAGTCAGTTACAACACTCTCATCGATGGGTACTGCAAGCTTGGGGGGATTGGGAAAATGTACAAAGCAGACGCGGTTTTGAAAGAAATGGTGGAGAATAAGGTGTCTCCTAACTTGACAACATTCAATATACTGATTGATGGGTTCTGGAAAGATGATAACCTTCTGGGGAGTATGAAGGTGTTCAAAGAGATGCTGGATCAAAACGTAATACCGAATATCATCACTTATAATTCACTGATAAATGGTTTGTGCAGTGGAGGTAAGATCAGCGAAGCCATTGGTATGCACGATAAGATGGCCAGTGCAGGTGTGCAGCCTAACTTAGTTACTTACAACTCTCTTATAAACGGGTTCTGCAAGAACAATATGCTTAAGGAAGCTCTTGATATGTTTGACTCAGTAAAAGGCCAAGGAACTGTTCCCACTACTAGAACGTATAACATGCTGATCGATGCTTATTGTAAGCTAGGCAAAATTGATGATGGCTTTACACTGAAAGAAGAGATGGAACGAGAAGGGATTGTACCAGACATTGGAACTTATAATTGCTTGATTGGTGGTCTTTGCAGAAACGGTAACATTGAAGCAGCTAAGAAGCTTTTTGATGAGTTGACTAGTAAAGGACTTCCTGATCTTGTGACATTTCACATACTAATGGAGGGTTATTGCAGTAAAGGAGAATCGAGGAAAGCAGCTATGTTTCTGAAAGAAATATCAAAGATGGGTCTGAAACCGAGACATCTGACATATAACATTTTGATGAAAGGCTACTGTAGGGAAGGAAATCTGAAGGCAGCAACGAACATGAGGACACAGATGGAGAAAGAAAGGGGGTTGCGGATGAATGTAGCATCATATAATGTGCTTCTACAAGGATATTCTCAAAAGGGAAAGTTGGAGGATGCAAACATTCTTTTGAATGAGATGTTGGAGAAAGGTCTAGTCCCGAACAGAACAACCTATGAGATAGTTAAAGTAGAAATGGTAGATAAAGGTTTTGTCCCAGACATTGAAGGGCATCTATTTAACGTCTCTACCAAATCCTAGTCTTTCAGTGACCATCATGAGAAGCAATTCCCTGCATGTTTTGCTTTGCTCTACGCTGCTTCCTTAGCTCACCACAATCATCAGAAAATTAATACTCGTTTCAAGTACTTAAGCCAATGTCAAAGAAGAGATAGGGACATGAGGTGGATTCAAAGACTGCAGAAATTTGTTCTATCATTGACCAGGGTGAGTCAAGCTTCCCAAATTGTATACCGTTATGCTGGTTTTGTGATTCTATGCTATGCATGTTCCTGGGTTATGTACTTCAGCTTCATATGGAAACTGAGAGAAAGTTCAGAACTTGTAACTTTACTGTTATTGTAAATAACTTGACACCGTAATTAGAAGTTTGCCATAAAAGATGCCTGTGTGACGAGATTATACAACAAACAGAAGCTTCGATCAACAGACAAGTTGCATTCCATTACCAAGGTTTTAACATTATCACATTAGACTAAAAACATCGAGGGCACCACTACATGTGAGTGAATCCAGCCAGTGGCTGAACCAAACCACAAAAGGACAAAGTTTTACAACTCATACTGGATCATACAAGGGCATAGATAAAAAGATTAAAAAACATCTAGACACGGCCTTGCCACAGACAGTCTTGCTGAACTTTCCCAGTTTTCAAAAGCTTCTCGATTTCATTGGGAGGATTCATCCCTAGACGCAGTGCCCGCTCCCATCGATCAAGTCTTGTCATACCCAAGCATGGACCATAAGCAATGTCCATGTCAAACTGTCTGAGCATCTCCTCCTCCTTGCCATAATCCCCTGTTGATCAAACACAAACAATATCACAAATGTTATCAATTCCACAAACGCTAAATCTAGATTGGACCCCAAAACTCATATGGGGATTGGAGTTAAACCCTAGTTCTCTTCCATGGATCAGAAGGGGGAAATTAAAGAATCAGATCATCAATATAAGAAGAAAAAAACCGTACCATTGAGATCGATGGAGCCGTGTGAGATCAATGCCGCGGGCTGCGTAACATCAGAACCTTGAGCCGCCGCGTGTTTGGGAGCGACTTTCCGGGAAGAAGGCTTGGACTTGGAGATACCTCCGGTGATATTGCTTTTAGTCTGCTTGTAGAAACCCTTCATGTTCTTCGCCGTCGTCGCCATAGCCTCTTGCTCTTTCTCTCTCTGCAGTTCAAATTTTGAATCTTTGAATCAGCTTTTCCTTTAGCTTCTACGCGACGATTGATGGAGAAGATAACCACTTTTATCTGGGTCATATAAATCCGCCCACTGATATTAATGGGCTTCATTGTCGGCCCGTTATATTCTTTTGTACCCCTCGAACGATTTAATACGTCTATGGTAAAGAGTAAAGGAGTATAGTAGATTTGTCCAATAAGGTTACTACATTTGGAATTAATTGTTAATAATACATGTGAAGGATCAAAAGGCGTAAATCATTCAGCTTTGTCGTACTCAACACTACAACTCGTACTCATGAACCTAGCTAGTATAGTGGGATTGAAACCTCTTTCTTTAGTAATGGAGCTTGGTCGTATAAACAGTATATTTTTTTTTTTAACTTTTTAATCTCTTCCGAATTCATGTCCGCAATTAATTAGCTCTAGCCATAAAAGTGCTAGTAAAAATAAATTAAAGAAGCATATGTACAGAAGTTTTAGAAAATCTTCAAATGTACAATGAGAGATAACACATATGTGTCTGTCTACTTCCACGAAAAAATAAGAAAATCTTTTTTAGCCGATGGAAACTATCGTAGCGGGAATGCGCGTATGAAAAATATAATACGAAATTACGAATTACACTAATCTACTCAATGAGTCAGAAATATATATATAAATAAATGAAAATTACAGAAGAAGAAGAAGATGGAGAAGTAGCTAAGCTAATACGTAAAAAGTAATTAAAGATGGAGAGGCCAATGGATGCCTTCTCTACCACAAGGTAACGGAGCCGGCAAAGCTATGTGCGACGGCAACTTCTCCCCTGGCATCACTACCGATACATCCACCACCACCGTATTCACCGCAACCTGCATACACACGTTACAATCCTTTTAATTTTAACTTTTAGTCTCTCAAGTTTTTTATTCTTTCTTTTTTTTTTGTGTTTTACTTCACAGCTTGGATTTTTTTTCACTTTACATAGTTGGATTATTTTTCTATTAATTTTGACGAATGTTTTTGATTATGCAAAAGGTTTATGCACCGAAAAGAAAAGCAATTTTATTTTGCAAAAGAAAGAAAAAAAAAAAAAGAAAACTAAACTATACAGTGGCAAGTTAATGCGGTTCGGCTTTATTAAAAGGACAAAAATTCTTTTGAGAAAATGCTTTAATAACTTTGTTTGTGTGTGTGTGTTGTGTTTACCATGGATGCTTGATCAGCAAGCTTCTGGAACTGACTGGACCCATCTCTCCGTCTTTGTGTGATCATCCGATGAGGTGAATCAAATGAAGAGTTCTCAGGCCTGAAGAGATGCTCGAAGATGGCCATGATCAAGAACATGGATATGAGTATCGCCGTCGCTACGAACCCAAAGGATATGGCATTCATGGACGTCGACGATCTCCACGGCCCTTCACTCTCTCCATCTCTTGAACTGTATATGCTCCACGAGCTTGACTTGTTGTTCATTTTCTCCTTGCTGCATAAAAGAAAGAGAGAAATCTTTCACCAGAGAATAAACTCACAACTCTAGATCAAGTTTAAAAATGATTATTCGATGATTTATGAACAAAAAAAGAAGAAGAAGAGAATTGAGATATATTAACGTAATGGATGATAATGTTTTCTGTATATTATTATTCCTTTTGTTTTTATGTGAAGATAGAGAAAAAGCAGAGCAGAGCAGAGAGAAGAAGAAACAAAAACACACTCTGTACTATGTTATAATGAGTTGTGTAATATATATATAGTTACAAAATGGGTGTAAATTATATTATTTATAGAATGTGTGTAGATAAAGTATAAAAAGAAGAATTAACAGAAGAGTTAATGTGTTAATGGTCCCTAAGAAGTAGGAACAGACATAGATCTTGGTCCTATATTCCTATGATCTCATCCCCTTCACGGCCTTCACTCACTGTCTTTTGCTGACAACTTCACACACCTTCTATAACCTTTTCTAATTTAAGTTCATCTCTACTCTTACCTCTCTCTCTCTTCTTTATTATAGTTCCTTATTTTTTGTTAACTTCGAGTACTATAAGATAGAGACATAATATATAGTCTAATATATAAGTAGGGTTCGTCGGTCGTGGCTGATTTGTTCCCCGTCCATTAACAAGGTGATATCAAGAAGATTATTATTTGATCTTACTAAAGTTTCTTAAAGGAATTAGAACTTAATATTAACCTTTTGAAAATGAGTTGTATAGGAATATTTTAGTTGGTATAATTGGGGGAACATCAACAAATGTAAAGAAAAAAGCTACTACTATATATCAAACTGTTTCTTTTGCTTTCCGTTTGAATAATTGTATTACACATACACATATTTTTGTGAATGTAATAACAACAAAGTATATCCTATACGGTTTATATTCGTTGTCTACTACTTTACGAAATTTCTATGCAAATTTTTTTGTGGTGTTTAGTGGCTTAGCTAGTAGTGTGTGTGACATCTTTTTGTTGTTATTTCATAATAATAATTGAGGATGGGGCCGACGTGTCATCAGAAAAGAACAACCAAAGATAGCCCTATTGGCTCCTTTTAAGAAACGTTTAATTAAATTACCCTTAGTTTTTTTTTTGTGGATTAATTAATTATCACAGTAAGATGTCAATTAGTTATCCTAATTAAGGAAACAATGATGCCTAATAATTTGCTGATAAACCCCACTTTAGTCGTATATGGCAATACAGGTAAATTTTGTTCGCAAATATAGTCAATTTGCTCATTACACAGTTTTCATCAAAGCCATGTAAACATATGTTCTAACTCTGTCTAGCCCGTTAATCACTAGCTCTACGTGATAATGTAGACGTACCGCGTACGTACATTTCATGGACAAACGTGATTTATCTACGTTACAATGAAAACTTCGATTTCAGTATCATTATCTAAGTTAATTAAGATCAATCAATATTTAATAATGTAAATCTAAAGACATTCTTGTTTCCTTTGAAGTCTGCAACCTTAAAGTTCTTAAGTAAAGAATTATACAAGTACGTTCAGCAATTTGAGCTTAATTAACGTAAGTTGTCTTTGAAAAGAAAAAAAAAACCTTATAAGTTAGGTGAAATATAAGCTGTAGCTAAAGCTTTTGAGCAGGCAATTCAAAAAATTATGAAAAGAGTTGAACACATGCATCTTTGGTTGGCAATGATGGCCCAAATCTATCGCAATCGAATGAGTTTCTCAAAACAAAATAATTATACGCAAAAACAAATTATTCAAAGGAAAGAAAAATAGCTAAACTAGCTGCGGCAAAAGCGGAGAGACCTCAGACCTATCGATGAGACCCTCTCTATAAAACCATGCACATGTGAGACGAATGTATACTATAAAACAACACAACTTTGTCTCTTTTTCTTTCTATTTGGGTGAAAACAACAGAAACACTCTTTGTTATTACTAGAAACGTTTTAATATCTTCTTCAAATTTGATTGTTATATATTTGGTTATATATATAAATGTTATGTTAACAGGAGTTGGTGGATAAAATAAGTTTTTAATAATTAGGGACGTAATGATACTAAAGAAAATTTTGGCATTTAGAGAATAGTGGGGGCTTAGGTGAAGATACAGCAAAGCAGAATTCAAAAGTGGGAATGATTTTAATGTAGAAAATAGAGAATTGAGTCTTTTTGCCTTTTGTGACTCATTGTCACAGATCATTCATGACCAAAAAAAAACCCATCATGTGACCGCTCTATTCTATTCACTCACTCTTTAGCTTTTCCTTTTTGCCTTTTCTGTTTTTATTTGAACCATTTCTTTCTCTTGTTGTGAAGTCCTAAAGAAGTATCTCGAACCCTGACCGTATAAGCGATATGGATACAACAAATTTGGCTATATTTATGAGGCTGCAGAGACTTGAACATATGTATAAATCTTTAAAGAAGGAAAACTCATTTTAAATATAAACGGAGTTAAGATGATATCATGATTAAACAATGTTTTATATACCAAACAGTTTAGATATATATACACTCCATAAAAAATAAAAATAAACTGATCACAAAAAATTTGTGAGAGGAATGGTTGGTTTATTTTGGGAATGATCAGAATTGAATAATGTTTTCTTTTTGTTTTTTGATAAAGTGTTTAGTCAATGTTTTTGTTTTTGTTTTTGTGTGTGTTTGTCTTCCTTTTTGACTATAACTTTCCTAGCGTCGCGAATCCCTAAGCTCTACGATCAGTTCATCATTCACAAATATGAAATAATTAATTAAATTGGCCACAATCCATTTTCCAAATGGAAAGAGCAGGACAGGATCACTAAACTATTGAGCTGTAAAACACAAGAAAGAAACATACTAATAACTATTTTGTAGCTTACTTTGCGAGAATATGTAATTCTTCTATCTGATCCGCCGTGTATACATGCATGCATGTGGGTTTTAACTGGTTTCAGACTTTAGGGCTGAGAGTATACATACCATAATGGATATTACAATCTTAAGTAGTATAGCGGGCCTTTGAGGCCCAACAACTGTGGGCATTGGAATCCAACGGTCACGATTACGTCCTCGCTGGAATTTGTCTAAGAAAATCTTAGCCGTCGGAATCTTCTCTTTTTCTGTGAGGGTTTTGTCGTGGTCTAGTGTCTACGCAACTTCCCAGTTCCCCCACTATTGTTCCACACAGTTCACACAAAACTCTTCAAGCGGTTTCCCCTGTTTGGTTTTACCTTTTACGGCGGCTCTACACCCGTCTTCACAGGTTTCTTTTCTTTTTCTCCTTCCTTCTTATCACTAGCCTTCTGGATTTCTGTTTGCTAACTAATCATTGTTTTGTTTGGCTCTTGGACAATTCTGAATTCCATATCTTCCAAATTGTGTCTTTTCAGAATTCTCTCTGTTTTTTATTTTTATCCCTTAAAGATTGAAACTTGTAGTTTCCATTGTAAATTGTGTTCTGTTTTGGAAACTTATGGTGAAATAAAAAAGGTCATATTTGCCAATACTTTTTCTTGTCGAATCCTGTATAGTAGAGGGATGTAGAACTCAGAGTTTTAAATGGTTGTTTATTGTTGAGTAATGAGACTAATGACTACCATAAACAGGTCTCTTGATTCTCCGTACTAACCTTTTTTTTTTGTTTTGTTCCCTTTCAATGGCTGCAGTGTATCTTGTGTATCGGTAATGGCCACTGAGAAGAACACTCTAGATTGTATCCTTTTAAGCTAGCGTATTAATTGTTCTCTACTTCTTTACTTGGTTGACAATGCTTTTTGTGGTTTATATGTCTTTTGGATTAGTATATTTTTGGAAATATCTTCATGCATGAGGGTTTGTTTCATGAAAAACGACAATGCTGTTTTGTAATTTTCACATTCCTTTCAATTTGAAACGTACGGTTATGATCTTCTTTTATAGACTTAATCTGTCATTGCTTGTCGAATAAAATTTTCTGGACAATGGGATGTCCAAGGATAATAATCTTTCGAAGAAGTGGAGCTTCTGTGTTGTGTTCATATGTGTTTGTCCCTTAACAACAACTCTAGCAGAGCCTACTTGTGCGGAAACAATACCAGATCCAGATTCTACAACAAAGAAACAGGCTGAGGTATTTGAAATCTTATCAGCCGCATTCTTAATCTCCTTCTAGCAACAAATGCTTATATAATTTTTGGTTATCTTCTCAGTCTCCTCCAACAGACAAGGCAAATCGTACTGCTACAGTGTCGAGTACCCCGTCTGTTACTGTCACTGCCTGTGCTAATGGTAAGAAAAATTCTTAAGGCTTTGGTTCTTATCAACCACCTAATAAGTCTGCTAGTTTCTTTTATTATTCCTTACAGATCCTTAATTTTCCATTTGCATATCAGTTATGAATATCTCTCAAGTGATTGTTGGTTGTGATTCGCCTTGCAGGATCTGATGTAGTCTCTTCTCAGCCAAATGACAATGGCCAAGCACATGCGACAGATGTTTTAAAGGTTTGATTTTGTCCATTGGCTTTTATTGCAGATCATGTTACTGTCATATTTTCGTTTTGACATGGTTTTATGTTCGGCGCTGGGTCATTTTCATAGGGAAGTCACCGTGACAAAAACAGCTCATATGCCTATTCTGATCCGACTTTGCGTGGAGATCGAGTGAAAAGAAGCAATTGTTGGTCACAAACTTCTTTTTCCACTCCTACGCCTCCTGGAAATTTCAATGGTGTTGGTATTCTTCCTCCCAATACACAATCACAAGCATTTAGACCGCAGTTTAAGGTACCTACTCATGTCTATATATATAGTTGAAAGCAAGAGTTTTGCATGACTAAATTTTACTTATTGTTCCTCTTAATGTTAAAAGTTTGATAAAATTACATCTTTATGCCTTTTGAAGGGAAAGGAAGCTGCAGGACACTTTATAACATTCTCCAATCGAAAGACAAGCTCTGTCCCATATTGTGGTTACACTAATGGAAACTCAAACAATGGTTTCTGGGATCAAAGAGATCATTATAGGAAACCTGAGAGAAAGGAAGAATCTGACTACTTGGTTGAATTGAAATGTGGTCCGAGAGCCAATGCAAAGACTCGTCCTCCATCTGAGTCATCATCACTCAAACAAAAGGATTCATTTTCCCTGACTATCCGTAGAGATATGTACAACCTCCCAGATTTTCAGACTGATTATGAAGATGCCAAATTTTTTGTAATCAAGTCCTACAGTGAAGATGATGTTCACAAGAGTATCAAATATTCCGTGTGGTCAAGCACTATCAATGGAAACAAGAAACTCGATGCAGCTTTCCGTGATGCTGAAACAAAAACACGCGAGGATGGCAAAAAACGTCCAATTTTTCTCTTCTTCTCGGTGAGTGAACTTGAGATGTGTCTGTGATTAAGGGTGTCTAGTTAGTCTCGTCTCACGTTTGCTCTCTTACCCATTCAGGTGAATGCAAGCAGACAATTTGTGGGATTAGCTGAGATGGCTGGATATGTAGACTTCAAAAAGGATTTAAACTTCTGGCAGGTTGATAAGTGGAGCGGTTTTTTCCCGGTTGAATGGCATGTGGTTAAAGATATCCCTAACTGGGAACTACGCCATATCATCCTCGCCAACAACGAGGACAAGCCAGTCACTCATACGAGAGATACTCACGAGGTCAAACTCAAAGAAGGTCTCCAAATGCTTTCGATATTCAAGAACTACTCTGCGGTAACATTTTTGTTAGACGACATGGACTTCTATGAAGAACGAGAGAAGTCTCTTCGAGTGAACAAGGAGCATAAACCTGCCACTCTTCGCATGGATCTCTTCAAAGAGAAAGACTATGATGTAAAAATGCTCATGACCATAACTAATTCTAGTTCATCTTCTCTATATACGTACGACTTTGTGTTTATATCTGAAACCCGGTTTTGTGTTTATCAAATTCAGTATGAGATGGAAGGCAACAGGAGAATGAATCATCAAGGAAGAGGATATAACTGGAACAGAAGTAGCAGTAGCATAACACAAGCTTCTCTTGTCAATCTAACCAAGAATCTCTCCATAGGAGGCTACCCTTCGTCCAAGAAGAACACTGGCAGTTATTCAACATGACCACGTCATTAATTTATTTATGATTTGCTTTAGTTAGTTCATGAATCACTACGTTATTATTTTTTCCTTTCTTAGGGACCTTGGTTTGGTTTTTACATTTCATTCTCAGCTGTCTTTAAGCCTATAGATTCATTTTCACGATCTTAATGATAAAATTAATCGGTTTTCAGATCGTTGTAAAAAAATAAATCATGGTATTTGGATTACAAAGAGGATAAGTTGATAACCACGTAACAATGTAACTCAACCGGAGTTTTCTCAGAAACTAAAAGCAAAAGGTATTTTCTAAAAATGTTTTTGTCCCACATCGGCAACTAGAAGAGAATGTCTCCGAAGTGTGATGATATAAAAACGAAGCTGAGCCTCACTTGCAAATCATACCTTTCTCGGCCTTTTGGCTAAGATCAAGTGTAGTATCTGTTCTTATCAGTTAAATATCTGATATGTGGGCCATCGGCTCACACGATATTAACTTCATTTATTAAGGGAGAAGGCCCGTTAAGATAGCTTGCCATCTGGGCTTTCGCGAGTCGCCCACGGCGTTGCACTACTGCACGGGCCTGGCTCATCCCATCAACAATTAGTTAAAACAAACACTCCCTAATGAAACAAAAATTGGGGAATTAGATATTAAAATTAAAAGTATATAAAGTCCAATCGCCTCAATTGTGTTCTTTAACCCTGATGCAGTAGCACTGAGCTTTGGTGAGAAAACAAAACATCGGTGGGTGACAGATAATGTCCGATAATCTGAAGCATCATCGCGATACTACAGCTTCTCAGGAATCAGTCGAGAGACTCTCGAAGGTTGCGAAAATTGAGGGGTTCAGTGACGAAGAAGAAGGATTGGTCTACTCGGAGTCGGAGCTGTCCATGAACCCTGGGAATCCTAGATTGCAGCGTTACTTAGTTGCCATCGAGTATATTGGTACACGTTTCTCCGGTTCGCAACAGCAAGCTACGGACCGCACCGTCGTCGGTGTTTTGCAGGTTGTTCTGTGTGTCTAGTTCCTTATATTTTCTTTCATCTCCGCCGTTAGAGAGAGAAATCCCGGAGACAATTTAATTCGAGAAGTTGGTAGATTGGTTTCGTGGCTAATTATGTGCCATAGAGCAGAGAGCTTAGGTTCAGTTTATATTTGCTAACAAGTTTTGTTGGGGCTTTCAAAATTTTGAATTGATACATTTCAGGAGGCTTTTCATAAGTTTATTGGTCAGCCAGTTAAGATCTTCTGCTCAAGTCGAACGGTAAGAGCTTTTCTTTCAACCGCCTCTAAACTTCTGTTACCAGAAACAAGCAGCTACAGATATATTAACGATCCTAGACTTAGTAGCTATGAAGAAACGTTTCACCTGTTTTTGTATTGCCTTTTTCACGATAGATTCATAGGGACCATGCGTTGTAGCCAAATGGTAATCTGTAGAAAGCTAGTATTGATGACTTAGATGTAGGTCAATGATATGCTCATTTTTGTTTTATTTATTATTAGCTGACACTGATCTAGCGCCTTATAGGATGCGGGAGTGCATGCACTATCAAATGTTTGCCATGTAGATGTGGAACGCATCAGTAAAAGGAAGCCGGGTGAAGTGGTATTTCTTTTGCACCCCTCTAATTTTTATCTTGTGGCTAACAATTAGAATTAGCCGTGTCATGTTCATGTAAAGGAAATAGTGTTAAGAGCAAGGAGCACACAGGCCTCATTGTTTCGAATATCATATGTTCCAATTGTAGTCTAGTTTATATACACAACGTGTACATTCACAAACACCTGTATCGTATATGATTAATGCTATTGGAAACTGTTAGGGACAGATATATTTGCATTCTCACTGGACGCTGTTTTTTAATTGCAGTTACCACCACATGAGCCTGGTGTGGTCCAGAAAGCTGTGAACCATTTTTTACAGGTTAATATCTGAAGGTTTTTTAAGATTATAACAATTAGATACAATGGTTTTTCTTCTCATTTCAGGGGTTGCTCACCAAAATCTATCATGTAACTATTGATCTTAGCGAAAGTTAACTTAAGATCTGTTGACACTTGACAATTTCGTTTAAGTTCCTCTACACTGTATTTTCTTTAGTACTTACTTTCACCTACTTTGACCTATCTACTATTCAACATCTGATTAAAATCCTTGTGTTGTTGTTAAGCAGAGAAAAGATGGCGATGTTATGGTGATTGATGTCCGGTGTGTCCCAAGTAACTATCATGCCAGATATAAGGCCCGGGAGCGCACGTAGGTACTCTCTGTCTATCTCTCATAAGAGAAGCCAAGATTTAGTTGTTCTAGATATTTTAATGTTCCTTATTTGTGCTGATTGTATTATAGAGTACTAGGTTATGCTTCAAAATATATTCCCTGCAATTGAAAATTGATATATAATATTTGATGACATTCTCTGTAGATACTTCTATCGCATTCTATCGGGGTCGGATCCATTATCAATCCTTGAAAAAGACCGTTGCTGGCATGTTCCTGAGGAGCTAAATCTTCGCTCTATGCAGGTTCGCATACTACTGTATTGTCAGCTTTCATATCAGCACTGATCCAAAAAGAATATTTCCCTCAAAAGATGAGTCCTTACTATTGTACGAATAAGAAATCTCTAACGACAACATCAATGATTGGTGCACAGGAAGCATGCAAAGTTCTTGTTGGAACTCACGATTTTAGCTCCTTCAGGGCAGCTGGTTGCCAGGTCAAATTTCTTTGTATGCTCTTTTTTTAAACATATCTTTCTGTCCTACACAATCAGATATGAAATGCTCTTCATAAATACCTGATCAATGCATTGTATTTGTGGCTTGGTAGGCCTTAAATACTTGTATGTGAGAAAGTATGAATATATGATGACTCTAGCAGATTGTTCCCTTTTCTGCAAAGGGAAGTTATTATTTTGTGTAGACTGATGTTCTTCCAGAAATCTGTTAATTCTTTTGACGAATTGTTGTTATGCAGGCAAAGTCGGCTATGAGATCTTTAGATGAACTAAGTGTCACTGAAGTACCATCAACTCCATACTTTCCATCTATCACGGAAAGGGCCAGTAACCTAAACAATGGAGATCCTTTCGCATGTTCCAGTCAACACAAGACTGAGACTGCTGGTGTGGGTACTAATGTTGGGGAAGTGGAGGGGTCTACAGATGGTGATTCTTTTGGTGCAAGGAGACGGCACCGCTGCTATGTAGTTACAGCGCGTTCCCGCGGTTTTTTGTACCACCAGGTTTGTTTTCTATTCATTGTCTCTCTTGGTAGATCATGTGTATTAATTGTAGTCTCCTTATTGATACACATAGTAATAGTTGTCCACATGTCCTGTTTTTGTTGTATGAGAAACATCAGTTTGAATTGAAAATGAAAGAGACGAATTGTGATGCTCTTTGTGGTGTGTTGATTTCTAGTGTCTATATGCTTGTGCAGGTTCGACTGCTTGTAGGAGTACTAAAATCTGTTGGCACTGGAGAATTGACAGTCGCAGACGGTATGTCACTGTCTCTTTCGTACAGAGTTTACAGTTAAAGTTTTTATTACGATGGAACAATGTTTAAGAGCTCCGTTGGGGTTATCTATGAATTTGGTTCAGTTGAACGTATCCTGGAGGCGAAGACAGTGAGTGCATCCAAACCCATGGCTCCTGCATCTGGTCTATATCTTGCCCGTGTCAAATATGAGTTTCCATGAAGACTTAAAAGTTCACTTCATTCCTGCAATAATGGGCGAGGAGTCAGCAGAATAGGTTTTGCTGAGATTTGAGAAGCTGAATAGAGAGATAAGGTCATAGAGATACTGAGTTTTGATGTGTTCTAGTTCCACCAAATGAATCTAATGAACTGAAATAACAGTATTCGGAGCAAGTGAGTTTTGATCTCTTTCTACTATTTTGTTCCTTCCGTTTAAGGAGCAATGAGATATACCTAAGCTCGATTTGGATTCCGATCGAACTAGAGAAACAAATAAAAATGGTTTTAAGTTGACGACCTCTGTTTTTCATCTAAAAGATCCATGTAGAACAAAACAAAAACATCGTAGTGTTTGAAGTTGACCTAAGGAGTTCCTTTTACGAATGAATTTTCAATAAACATCGTAGTTACGTCTCAGTCATGTGAAGCAGCATCAAAGGCCGAGGTTACTTAGAAGCTGACTCCATCTGGGAGTCTCCTCATCAAAAATGTACGTTAGAGGTGACACCAGTACTCCACTACCTCCCACCTGAAAGCACATTAACAAAGCATCTGAGGATTCGAGAACGAAAGACTGATCTCTGTACCAAAACAATGTGGTTTGGGCAATTAAATTTCAAGAGGGAAAGCCATGTATTTGTAAATTCCTTAAATAATGACAATCTTGGGAGTAAAAGGGAGAGGTGGACGAAAAGATGGATGTCATTACTAACCGCTCTCAGTTGCTGCACAGACTCATATAGAGCTTTTTTCGGTACACATATCACAATGGCATAGTACTCTATTGATACTTTTCCATCTCGTTTACAGTAAACTGGACTTATTGTTGGTCCCTGAACATCAGAAAAGAAGCACAATCATCTAAACTATCAGGCACCAAATCAGTGGAATACACTGAATATACACCAAAATATTCTTGGATTAGAACTAGGAACTAGGGGCTTGTGAGTCCCCATATGTTCTCAAACTTTACCTGCAATCCTGATAATGATGGTTGGGTTTTCACACGTTCAGCCACTTCCTCAGCATCCGTTCCTCTCATGTTTGCAACAACCTGGAGTGAAAACACAGGATGAAAGAAAGCAAACGTAGAGATAAGGAGAAACATTACAATTACTATGCACATACAGTGAATTGACCATCTGCCTTCAAATGAGCCTCTAATCTCTCGAGAATTTCATGCACTGTTTCTAGGGCTCCTTTTCTCTCAGTCAATGCCCTTCTGCTTGCCACTAATGCAGCCTGATAGTAAGAGAAAGGGAAAAAAACTTCTGGTACACCGGTTTTAAGTGTGAAACAGTAATCAATTCCAAAGATCTCCACAACATACCTGACTTTCCAGCACAATCCCTCCTTCAATCTCTTTCAAGTTGTTCTCTTTAAGGGTTGTCCCACTGCTCACAAGGTCCAAAATAGCATCAGCTATCCCCATCTAATTAACAAAAGAAAATGTGTCAACAAACACTCCACACGAAAATAGTTTCTTTCTGAATTACTATAATCCATAATCTCACGCTGTCGGGACAATATATCAAAAATACTTTCACAATATGGAACGCTACTCCCATATTAAGAATAAACTCTGAAAAGATAAGAATAAGAATACAATAACTCTCTTATAGAAAGATCTAATGTACTCAGCATTTTCATACAAAAACCAAGCCGTTTTAATCCTTATGGAAGTATAGTAGTCTAGTAAGAGCACATAGTTGGAAATCCAAGGTATTTTGAAAATTTTGTAAATCTCACCGCAGGAGCTGCCTCTAGGGCTCCATCTGCAGTTGAAAAGGTCACATGCTTTATGCCGTTTTCTTTCATAAATTTGGGGCCTAGCTGCAAACACATGTTGGATAAATAACAAAACAATTAAATTACATTCCGAAAAATGGTTAAAGGACAATGATGCACCAAAGGAACACTTGTAACTCATCATACATAAGAGAATCCTGTGGCAACTCGTAAAGGTCTTTCCTCAGTCCATTGCGGCATTTGCGCTAGCTCCTTCAGAGATTTTATATTCTCAAATATTCCATAATTGGGTATCTGAAATTATATGGAAAGAGGAATCAGAAGTCATCTGTATTGATGATTAACCACAGCTATAATATAGATTTGAACGTACCGCAAGGGATAGATGACAATCTCCAAAGTTGAGAGCTTCATGTACAATGATAAGATCTTCGTTCCCCTAAAAAATAACTCAAAATCTCTAAAGTTTTCTTGCAAAATTGGGGCCTTCAACAGGCAAGTTTAAGTCATATAAGCTAACGCAAACAGTATGGGCAAGCAATATCAAGGAAAACCACAAAAGAACAAATAACAAGATTAGGCTCATTCCTTTATATCTACCATGAATATCAGTATAACAACCACCAGCACTAAGATAATCTAGAATCTCAACATGTGTTTTGCTAATCAAGATACAGAAGTATGATGTTATTTACCTGACCAAATTCACTAACTATGTCAAGACCAACGATGCCTAAATCCAGATCTCCTGAGAGCAACTTCCTGACAATGTCTTTTGGCCGTTGAAACCAGACTTCCGTATTTGGTAACTGGAGGACAAGAAAAAGAGATTACCACTACAAACCTACAAGTTGAGAAATACCAAACAAAAAACTAAAAAATAGAACTCAATACGCTTTGGACTTCCTCCTAATGCATACCTGGGGAATTTCAGCAACATATTGCCGTGGATTGACTTGTTTGACAAATAATTGGCAATCCTTCATGAAAAGGAGAAAGTAAAAGAGTCGTAAGGAGCCATGAGAATGCAAATCAGAGTGTTGGTAAGAGATACTGAGAGTGAAAAATCATCTCAGAGAAACAAACGATCAAAATGAAACCTCGCAATAACCCAAGAAAGCAAACAAGGAGAGTTTGATCTTCAAGCAAGAGACCATCAAACAAACACAAAACTATTACAATAGGACACTCATATACATAACTTCGCCTAGGGAACGTTATGAAAGTTAAGCAATCAATACTTAGGCTTCACAGCACAGTCATTAGCTCAAATATGAGAAAGACTAGACCTTGAGCTTGTAAGTATAGCTCCATACGATATCTTATCCAATCCAGAGAGATGACAGCAATTTGATATTTGAAACACAAAAGTACATAATGTATAATATGAGAACTAAAGGAGACTCCAGTGCATTGTGAGAAGCAATTCCCAGAACAAATTGAAGTTTCCGCAACTCATATACAGTGTTCAGCAACCAGCACACAGAAAAAACTACAATTCTCCATGGAAATTTCCCAGCACAAATCGTCATCTATCCAAAGGGGAACACAACGACTCCGAAAACACTCACCTTGAGAAGATCCAGCGAATCGGCAGCCATGCGTCCTTTGCTAGGAAGACCGAGACGAATCTGCTTCCGCCCGACGAGAGATACGGAGTCGGTGGCACCATTCTGTACGGATTTCTGAGCATTGGAGATGCAAGAAGTGACCATCCTGAGGCATCTCTGACGAACTCCGGTAACGGACACAGCGGTTGAAGGAATCGGAGAGAAGAGAGAAAGAGAAGGTACATGAGAGGAAATAGAAGAAGAGGAGTATTGTAGAGTGGTGTTGAGGGGAATAGATATTGACATTGTTGCTGGCTCTCAAGCTCTCTCTCGGAGGCGGAGGAGAGAGATGGTCGACGGATATTACTGCTCAATGCTCGGCCGTTATAAATATCCGAGTGGCCACGTGGAAATTTAACATTTTTTTTTTTTTTTTTTTTTTTGTCATCATGGAAATTTAACATTTTTAAATTTCATTTTATTTTTTAAAATTTTCTTTTTTGAGTAGTGACAGAGTTATACAGATATCTCCACGACCAAAAATAAAAATACAGAAGATATCTTCCTTCTTCATCATCATATTATATAAGAGGAGACGGAATGAGTAAAAAAATGTGCCTTGAAGTCTCTTCTTATGTCTCTGTTTAGTCCATCTGTGTTTATTACTTCTTGATTTGCTTTAAGAGAGCAGCTACAGATCCACAATGTGTTGACTCGTTATTGCATCTTTCGCAGCAAGCCTGTAACATCTCTATCACTCTCTGGCACCTGTGCACCCCCACACAAAGTCTTATTAGTATGTATCTCCAGTAAAGCTATCTGGTTGATAACATTAGGGAACATCTATCTCTTTATATGCAGTGAAATCAAATAAATTCTTCTCTTTTTTTCAGCATTAAGAATTAATATCATATCGAAAGTGATGTTGTTGTGCAACATCGCTTGACTCTGTGTTAAATGTTAATCATCACCATATTTCTTAAGCTATTCAATGGGACTGTCAAAATGAAGGCCTAGAGACATGACTGATATATACTACATAATCATTATGTATGCACAACATATGACAAAACCAGTAGAGTCATACAGACATAAAAAAGCCAGGTCCCTTCTGAAAAATCGAAATCAAAAGAAGAAAACCAGATTCTTTTTCTTATAGCTCAATAAGTTTCTATTTTGTTCTAGGCTAGTTTTGTGAAAACAATGTTGGTCCATGCAAACAAAGTGACAATGCACTTGCAAACTTGCTTGTTCCTCAAGAGGTTAATACAACCAAAAGACAGAGACCAAATAGGTAGTGGGGGAAAATAAGGATCTCTACAACAAGCCTGCTTATGATCATCCAACAAGATTCAGGTAATATATTTTACTCATCCATATCTCTTTCTCAAATTAGTCAAAAGCCAGACATTTATACAGTGTCTCTCGTTAATTCACACCATCACGGTCTCTCGATTCTTTAGGGAGGGACAGACTACAGAGTGAGTATGATCCAATACAAAGTTCCCAAAAAATCACCTAACCTTGTGAAATTTGGTCAATAATCTCCAAAAAAAACCTTAAATTCACAAGGATGATGCATCTAATCTTTTGCTAAGTAACAAGAGAAATAACTTAGCTGAAAAAAAACCCAATGATGGAGACATGAACCCTAAACCCCCAAAACTAGGATCACAACCCTGCTCATCAATTAAAATGGATATACTATATAATCCACTAGCATCATCATAAGCAAACTGAAGGAATCTTTCAACAAACAAAAAAAAGGAAATAGAAAAAGAGAGAGTTGGGGAATGAATGAATCACCTTTGAGGAAGAAAATTGTTCTTGGAGAGGCAGGCTTGGATGTCGCAAGCCTCTTTCTTGCAAGGTTCTTTACTCGGTTGCGCCATCGCTCTCACTTCTTTTCTTTCACCCCTTCACAGTCTTTGATCTCAACTTTGGTTGTTGATCTGACTGATTCAATCGTCAAATTGTTTTCCGATTCACCGACTTGACATAATCTGCCGCCTGAGCGAGTTTTGACTATTCGTCGGAAGTTCGGGAAATTAAATCACAACCAAACCGGTCAGATTTACCGAACCGAACTAAAACCATTCAAATAATGTGTTATTAAATCGAACCAAACCGGATCAGAGTTATGTTTTGGTGTTATTTATTTACTAATAAAACATATGTAATTCTCCAATTAGGAGAGCGTGAAAATAGTTTTTTTGGTGTTGACACTCATGAAAAACGCATCTCTTTTCTGACACGTTCTTCTTCTCTAATTAAAAATCTCAATCTCCTAATTATCTTTGGTCAAATGTTTTTAATTGCATATATATGATGAATAATTTGTGACCTCTTAATTTGTAATTTACATATTGCTAACCATTTGTAGTTAAAAAAGGTTCAATCAATGCCATAAGAGATAGAACAAGCTGCTCGCTAGCTCAAGAATAACCAAGACGCCAAGAACATACGATTTTTGTGGTATAGTCTCAGTACTGTTGTAGTGATGTCCAATCTCTGTTAGCCTCAAAATTTGTATCTGATAACCAAGGATCGCATTCCATAAAAATACAGATACAGTAAATTAAAAAAAAAAGTTTAGAACTTAGCAATAACATGACACGAAGACGAGAACCGTACGTGAATCTTTGGATATAAGAGCTGCCACCTGTACTAAACTATCAGAAAATTTGAAGAATTAGATTAAGTGTACATATAAGGTAAATAGATTTTACGTATATTACAGCTAATATATAATTAAAGCCTTAACAACAAAAAGGTAAGTAAACAAGCCAAAAATAGAAAGAAGAAGAGTAAAGAGTGGGTTTTGTTCACAAATGCAAAAGAAAAACTCTTCGTTCAAACCTCTAACAACAGTCGCTGTGTGACTTCTTTGCTTTAATTGTGTCTCATAATAAAGGGAAACCCGAGGCGTCATACTTAAATCTCTTGAGATTTTTATTTCTCTCTTTGTTATTCCCAAAGCCAGATTAAATTTTCACATTTTAGGAAAAAAAAAATATTGTGATTTCTGATTAAATTTTTTATCGATCGGAATCTGAAAAGTCGACGTGATCAGTACTGGCCTCTTCTCTGGTTTGTGAAGAGAAAAATGGGTGCAATGCTAAACCTTATGCTCGTCGTCACTGTCATTCTTGTCACAATCTCATCACCCACACGTAAGTCTTCGAGTTTACTTTATTAGTAGGGGTTTATATGATGATTATAATTAAGTGTTAACAATGGTTTGCAGATGGATACGATCCTTTGGATCCGTTCGGTAAAATTATTATCAAATGGGATCTCCTTTTATCATCACCCGGCAGACACTCGGTATTTCACTCTCTCTTTTTTTTCTCTTCTATTTTTCTTGTGATTACCTCTCTTCATTTTGTAGTTTAATTTCTTTCGATTTTTTTTATTACATATAAACAAACAACTCTTGTGCTAAAACAATTATGTGTCTGATTATGGGACCCGAACCTCGTAGAAGCTGATATGGGTTTATGATGAAATGCTAAAAGATAGTATTACAAATTAGAATATACATTTTTTTTTTTAAAAAGAACTAAAATAGAGTCCGGATCTTAAGCTTAAGACGACGAAGTTTCTCGATTGTTTGTTTTGTTTCCTGCAATGTTGATTTTGTCAAAATCTTTTTCTGTTAAAAGTTGTGAAATCTGATTTTGGAAAGTTAGAATGAGATTTAGGTTGAAAAGAAAGATTGATTAAGATTAGCAGAGGCAACACTAGTTTAATTTCACTTTATATTCTTGACTATCTAAGAACCAATGTTTGTAATATGATACAGATTTTTCAACATATATATACAAATGTTCGGTGGAATATTCAAAATGTTGCAGGTACAAGTAACGGTAGAGAACATGCAAGAGTACCGGCACGTGGAGAAACCAGGGTGGAAGCTGAGTTGGCATTGGCTCAACAAAGAAGTCATATGGGACATGAGAGGAGCTGAGACGACCGAGCAAGGCAATTGCTCTGCCTTTGCCTCCAGCAGCAACCTCCCTCACTGCTGTCTCCACCGACCAACCATTGTCGATCTTCTCCCCGGAGCTCCTTACAATCTCCAGGTCTCCAATTGTTGCCGTGGAGGCGTCTTGACTTCCATGTCTCAGGACCACGCCCATCACGTCTCTTCTTTCACAATGGACATTGGGAGCTCTCCTGATGACCCTGAAGAGTTCAACATCCCTTATAACTTCGATATAGGGGTCCCCGGTTATAGCTGCGACAATGCTACATCCGTGTCCCCGACTAAGTTCAGCACAGACAAAGGCCGTCGCAAAACCCAAGCTCTAGGTAATCAAAAGGCCTATAAGATGTTATTTTATTACACAACAACAAAGTCGAGTTACTTAACAAAGATATTTGGTGTTGAGAGCAGCGACATGGGAGGCAGTGTGCGTGTACTCGCAGTTTCGGTCATCACAATCTCCAAAGTGCTGCGTTTCACTCTCTTCCTTCTACTACCAAAACATCGTTCCTTGTCCTACCTGTAGCTGTGGCTGCTCTAGTTCCCCTTGTGTCAAGTGATCCACTCTTCCTAAACCCTTTCATCACATTTACTTTAGTTATTGTTTTTGGTTTGATTCGGCTTCTTCCTGCTGGTTTGTTCAGGAAAGGAGAGTTGCCGCCGTATCTTGAACAGAAACATGATATAGAGGAGGAAGTATCGCCTGTTGTGACGTGTTCGAATCATATGTGTCCTATCCGCATCCACTGGCATGTGAAAGTGAACTACAGAGAGTATTGGAGGGTAAAGATCACGGCAACGAATTTCAATACAATGAAGAATTACTCTAATTGGAACTTAGTGGTGCTTCATCCAAACTTGAAAAGCGTCCAACAAGTCTTCAGCTTCAACTACAAATCCTTGACACCATATCAAAACAGCATCAGTAAGTCAATTCTTAAGAAGCTGATCGATCACAGTATCCTTATGATGATTATTACATTGTTGGTAACTTGAATCTTGACTTGTTGTTGGTGTGAATTCAGATGACACAGGGATGTTTTGGGGAGTCCAGTTTTACAATGATGTTTTGCTTCAAGCAGGGAAGATTGGGAATGTGCAAACAGAGTTATTGCTAAAGAAGGATATGGGAAATTTCACTTTCAAAGAAGGTTGGGCATTCCCAAGGAGAATCTTGTTCAATGGTGATGAATGTGTTATGCCTTCTCCAGATGACTATCCAAGGCTGCCCATTTCTGCTTCTGCTTCTTCGTCTTCTTCATCTCCTGTCATTAGCTTTCTTACAGTCGTCTTCTGCTTTCTCCTTCAACTTCTACTTCTTTGATGAAAACGTTCCCATTTGAACCATTCATTTGTTCCATGCTTCTCTGACCTTTTCAAGAAACAAAGCCTCTAATAAAGAGAGCTGAATTTTTGCATCAAAAATACATTAGCAACAAGCACAATTTCTTGACCATTGGTGATATTTAGTTAATAGTAGGAAAATTCTTTTAAATAGTAATAAGATATTGTATTTTATTTCCAGTTTTCCGATCCTTTTTAAATATCACTAAAGCACTTCAGATTTGGTAAACTGAAATATGAATATGCTTGGTGTGCGTATAAAGAAATTTTACCAATAAAAATTCTGGTTATTTACTGTGAAACTAGAGATATGGCCCATATCAAGCTGAAAAGGAAACAAATACTTTTTCGAATGCCTTGTAAACCAAGAACAGATTTAATAAGTCGATATTACATTTAGTATGATCTATAATAAAATGGAAGAATGTGTAATGGAAGTATACTCGTAAAGCAATATTTCTGTTTTATGATTATACAAAAATGGAAAGTAATGGAAGTATAATGTAAAAATACAAATGTTATCGTATGATAATAAAATCTAAAAAAAGGAAGTAGAAAACATATAAAAGACAAAATGGCATGTATCATAACATCAGTATATCAAATTTGTAAAATCACAATGAAAAAGGAATATTCGGAGCCAATAAGATTTTTATAAATACGTGAGAGACAAGTGGCCCAATTGATAGATGCATAGTAGGCCCACTTCCAAAAACGCCTCTTTTAAAAACCCGCCTCTTCCTTCACACCAACCTTCACTTCTTCTCCTCCTCCACTTTTTCTCAGATCTGTTTCTGAGATTCTTCGATTGCATCTCAAAAAATCTCAGCTATGGCTACCTCCTCCGCCTGGAAGCTCGATGACCATCCCAAGCTCCCCAAGGGCAAAACCATAGCCCTTATCGTTTTAGATGGTTGGGGTGAATCTGCTCCTGATCAGTACAACTGTATCCACAACGCTCCTACTCCAGCCATGGATTCTCTTAAACAAGTATGTTAACTTCTTAATATTTGATTTTAATGCGTTTTCGATTCATCGAACTTATTTTCCTTTGTATTCTTTTCTCCATAGGGAGCTCCTGATACTTGGACGTTGATCAAAGCTCACGGTACTGCTGTTGGACTTCCCAGTGAAGATGATATGGGAAACAGTGAGGTTGGTCATAATGCTCTTGGTGCTGGTCGTATCTTCGCTCAAGGTGCTAAGCTTTGTGACCTAGCTCTTGCTTCCGGCAAAATCTTTGAAGGTGAAGGTTTCAAATACGTTTCTGAATCTTTCGACACACATACTTTGCATCTCGTTGGACTTCTCAGTGACGGTGGAGTTCACTCTCGTCTCGATCAGCTACAGGTTTTGATTTCATCTGCTGTTTACCGTTTTTTTTCTTAATTTTGGTTTTGGTGTTTAATTTCTTAATACTTGTTGTTTGTTTTGCACAGTTGTTGATTAAGGGATCTGCCGAGCGTGGTGCCAAGAGAATCCGTGTTCATATTCTTACTGATGGTCGTGATGTTTTGGACGGTTCTAGTGTCGGATTTGTGGAAACTCTTGAAGCCGATCTCTCTAAGTTACGTGAGAATGGTGTTGATGCTCAGATTGCATCAGGTGGAGGACGTATGTATGTGACTTTGGATCGGTATGAGAATGATTGGGAAGTTGTTAAAAGAGGTTGGGATGCTCAAGTTCTTGGAGAAGCTCCTCACAAATTCAAAAACGCTGTTGAAGCTGTGAAGACACTGAGGAAAGAACCGGGTGCAAATGACCAGTATTTGCCTCCGTTTGTGATTGTTGATGATTCAGGCAAAGCAGTTGGTCCCATTGTGGACGGCGATGCTGTTGTCACTTTCAACTTCAGGGCTGACCGTATGGTTATGCATGCTAAGGCACTTGAATATGAAGACTTTGACAAATTTGATCGTGTGAGGTTCCCAAAGATACGTTATGCTGGTATGCTTCAGTATGATGGGGAGCTTAAGCTACCTAGCCGTTACCTTGTTTCTCCCCCGGAGATTGATAGAACCTCTGGTGAATATTTGGCTCACAATGGCGTCAGCACTTTTGCTTGCAGGTTCTTTTTACTTCTGTCTTTTTCTATATCACATTTTGAGTACTTGACAAATTTTCGTACATGCTTTTCTTAGCTCTCACTTGAAAAAGCTAGCTGGTTGTTTACTCTTTTTTGAATTGCAACAGTTGCGATGTCTTTGTTTTCTCTTAATGTTCTATGCTATATGCTATGTTGATAAAATCAAGTTCATTGACCTAGATTGCATTTTTTCCAGTGAGTATACTATGTTCTTGAATAGAACCTCTGACATATTTATTAATGTATGTGGCTGAAACAGTGAGACTGTCAAGTTTGGGCATGTCACCTTCTTCTGGAATGGAAACCGATCTGGATATTTCAACGAAAAATTGGAGGAGTATGTTGAAATCCCAAGTGACAGTGGAATATCATTCAATGTCCAACCAAAGATGAAAGCTCTAGAAATTGGTGAGAAGGCGAGGGATGCAATCCTTAGTGGCAAGTTTGATCAGGTGAGGTGGATGAATGGTCTTGTGATCTTATAATCAAATGTCCCTGTAAATAAGCAGAGATGTCTTATTTTTCGATATTGATTTTCAGGTGCGAGTTAACATTCCAAATGGAGATATGGTGGGTCATACAGGTGATATTGAGGCCACAGTTGTTGCATGCGAGGCTGCTGATCTTGCTGTGAAGGTATTGTTGTACAAATTATCAACAAGTCTTTATAATATAAGTGAATGTAACTTAGCTCACAAGTGGTTTGGTTGTTGCAGATGATTTTTGATGCAATCGAACAAGTGAAAGGCATTTATGTTGTGACTGCTGATCACGGAAACGCAGAGGACATGGTGAAGAGGGATAAATCTGGGAAGCCTGCTTTGGATAAGGAAGGGAAGCTTCAGATTCTAACCTCTCACACACTCAAGCCAGTAAGTAAAATGGAAGTCTGTGTTATAACCATATAGTAGACATTGTTCTTGATTTCTGATGTGGAGTTTTAATTTTTAATTGTAGGTGCCAATTGCCATTGGAGGTCCTGGCTTGTCTCAAGGAGTGAGATTCCGTAAAGATCTGGAGACACCAGGGCTTGCGAATGTAGCTGCAACAATTATGAATCTCCATGGATTTGTGGCTCCTGATGACTATGAGCCCACCCTAATTGAAGTAGTGGAGTAGAAGAATCGACAGCCCCATCAGTTTTGAAGAGGGCTGAAACTCTCTAGTTTTCTTTCGTTGTTTTCTAATAATAAGAGTATTACACAGACTACTTGTATTTTTTATTTTGGCTTTTAGCCAAAAACGTTAATTTCACTTTACATGATATTCAAGTTTTCTCTCTCTACGACAAAGTACAAGCTTTTTTTCTTCTCTTCCATACGACGCGTGAATTGTGCAAATGCGAGTTAAGCAACTTTAGATTGTACAAAATTCGGAACCATACAGATTCGAAGCATTCAAATTTCTTGACTCTTGCAAAGCATAAAACAGAGAATATCACAACCTTTACAAAGTCATGACTCATATAAAATTACCACAGTACAAAGTCAGGCTATGTCTCCTTTAAAACTTGTAACCAATACAAAACTCAAGTTTTATGCAGAAGCTTCCATGGCTATAGCTACATCCTCTTCTTCTCCACCGGCTAGCTTATCTTCTTTCAGTTTGTGAGAATCTTCGACATCCTCTTGTTTCTTCAATGCTTGTGCTCGGAACCCGACCATTACCTCCTCTGCTTTTTCAACCATTGCCAACAGATTTCCATAGCGCGCTTGCAGTTTTCTCTCTGTCTCCTTTTGCTTTACCACTTCCTCTTGCAAATTCTTTTTCCTGAAAGATGCAGCCATCTCTTCTTGCCTCTTCAATGCTTTGAAACACTCGACTTCTGTTCCACCAATCTCAATCTGCTTTAATGTAGCCTCTATTTGGGTCCACACGGTCTCTGCCCTTCTCTGTCAAATGAACAAATCCATTAAACATGACACCAAACAAAAGTTTGATTGAACAATATATAATTTCAGAACTAACATTAAAGCAATGTATATATTACCTCATGACCCTTTGTATAGGTTTTATACTTAGCCTTCATGTGTTCTGCCTTCTTCTCATCCTCCTCCATCTTTTTCCTTGCATTCTCCATATCCACCTGCAAAGCTGCAATTTTCTCTGCGTTCGCAGCAACACTTGAAAGCCCGTAAGCGTTTTGAGTGGGCAAGTAGATGAGATCATTCACGCATGTGTTGCGAGCTTCTACGAAATCACCAAGTGACGTGTTCTCATGTTTCATTGACACACGAAGGAACTTCCCCTCCTCCTTTATCATGCTGTCAGCCTAAAAAGAATCAGTGGCAACAACCTTCATTAGAATCTCCCTGGTGTAGACCAAATTACAGATGCTGATTCAAATTAAGGGAGGGTTCGAATTCATATCCAAAAAGGCATCAAGCAATCTATCCTAAACCAAGTACAAACTAAGGACTTTAGAGCTGGGCCAACAAATAAATCATCCAAAAGAACAAATGTTAAACTGACAATGGGAAGATTCATATACATACCTCTTGGAGTTCATTTTCCTCAAAATCTTCAATTGCAAGAAATTGAGAAGCAGAACTGTTGGTACGGTTCTTGGCTCCTTTCTTCTTCTCAGCTTTCTCATCAAGCGGATATTTTGCATTATCATGCTCCAACAACTGTAGAAGCTCCTCTCTCACCATTTTATCTGCAATCTCAATAGGAGTAGGAGGAACAACAGAACTTTTGTCTCCGTCAGCTGAAAGCAAGGAGTTCCTAATTATTTCCAATGAAGCAGCTGGCGGTCTAGGCAGATCTCTCTGCAAGACCTTAGACCTCTTCTTAAGCAATGCCTGTTGTCTTGCTTCTTCCTCAGCCTTTTCCCTGGCTATCCTGTCTGACATGTCTTCCTCAATTTTCTCTTCTGGCTCTTCACTTTCCTCTGGAGGAAGTTGTGCAACTATTTGGTACTCGTTCTTTGGCTGAGGAAGCCCAGTCAAACCAGAGCGTAAGCTCCTTTTAGCTTCCTCCCTTCTCTGCCTATCCAGTTTTGCATTTTCGTGCATGTCCATGTCTTCATTAATGTGAAGTTCATCCCTAAACGGAGTCCCTTTGGGTGTCATAGAAAAAGAAGACCCATCCCTTGATGGAGTCAAGCCAATTCTTGGAGTAAGACCAGCACCACCAGGTGTCATCGAAGGGGTCAACATTGGATTAGGCGTTTGAATCTCCTTCTTCCTTGGAGTGACCCCCGTAAAGTCAGAAGGGTGCAACTCAGGATTTTCTCCTCCTAGCAAAGGTGTCTGAGAGTCTCTTAATCTAGCAAGGTTTTCTGCTTCCATCATAATAGCATCACCTTTACCAGCAGGAGTTCTTTGTGGCGTCCTCATTGGTGTCATTCCTTGCCTTGGTGTTTGTGAGTAATTTGCCAATAGTGCACGAGTAGCAGCACTTCCTTCTGTAAGCTCCTCATTCTCTGCGAGAAGGTCACTGGCGTAGCCCATCTTAGCAATTTCTTCTAGCTCATGGTCTGAAATCTGCGGAGGTGGTAACATCAGCTTTGATCTTTTTCTAACAGCTTCCGGATCATTTAGCTTGTTTGCTTGCAATATAGCTGCTGGAGCATCCTGTCTCTGAGCAATTTTGTTTCTAGCAACATCTTGTTTGCGTAACTGTGCTTCTACATCAGCTCTTCTTTTACCTTCCAGTTCTTCAATGGTTGTTGGAAATTTTACTTGGTCAGCAGGACGATCTTCATCTGCAGTATCATAAAATCCAGCAGGTGCCCTCTTTTCAAAAGGAATTTCTGCATTATAGTCGATTCCCTTTCTCTTCCTTTTCCTATGCCTACCATCAATCCCAGCTGCTTTTAGCTCCCTTCTCTTTTGCAGAGAAGCCAGCCTTCTAGCTTCCTCAAGTTGTTTTTCTCTAGCTTTTCTTTTAGCCTTTTTCCCCCTAGTGTTAGCCAATCTAGCTCTAGCTTCAGAGAGCATTTCTTTCTCGTCTTCGTCCATATCTACGGGATCAGGACGAGCAGGTTTTGCTTCAGGGTTCGGATCAATCTCACCAGGACGTAATTTCCGTGGATCATCCGCTGCATCATAATTCTCGTCCTTAGTACATGCTGCATCAAGAAGCTTTTCATACCTCTCAAGGCATTGAGATGGTGTACGGCCAACAATAGGAGCAATAGTTCTCCACTGAGTAGGCAGCAGTTTTGCAAGATGTAGAAGCTTCTCATCTTCTTCTCTGGTCCACTCAGTCTGCGTTAACGTCAAAAAAAAACAAATCAGATTCAAATTCAAAAACGTATGAAAGCCTTAACATACTCCAAAAGTCCTACAATTGCCAACACTCTGTAAGAACTTCAGAACAAATTTATATACATATATATACCACTAAACCTCCAAGTATCAAGCTACTAAACCACCTATAAGCCTAGATTGGAACTATATTTTTCATTATTTTCCAGATCCAGAACAAAAAAAAATTATGGAACACTACCAGTAAAGAGAAGGAAAACGCGGACACCACATACCTTTTTGATAGAAGGATCGAGCCACTCGTACCAGCGAGCTTTACACTGTTTGGCAGATTTACGAACGAGAAGAGACGAGATCCGAGCCCATTGGTTCTTACCATACTTCATCACTGCGGCCTTGAGAATCTCATCTTCGGTGTTCTTCCAAACACCTCCCTTAATCATAATCCTCATCTTCGCTCAACTGTTTTTGATCCTAACGCACTCCAAATCAAGGTCTGTAAAGCTAAATGCTCGTCGGAACCGGCAGAACGAAGAACAGAAGGAAGCGAGAGAGAGAGTAACCCTAGATTAGGGTTGGAACCAACGAAGAAGAAAAGGTTCAATCGAACACTACTATACTACTCCTTTCCTTTTTAGTTTTTTTGTTATTTTCTCACATCATAAATATCGGAATATATTTATGGGCCTAACCGACTTGGACCAATTCCCGTACTTAATGGGCCGTAAGTGATAAATTAATCGCAAAGGTTGTTGCATCGTTTTTATGTCACACTCTGTTGTCTCTTTTACTCTGAATGCGAAGCAGCGTAGAGAGGAGAAGCACGAAGCACTAAAACCCTAGTGGAGTAATGGTGAAGCTCACGGCTGATTTGATCTGGAAAAGTCCTCACTTCTTCAATGCCATCAAGGAGCGCGAATTGGATCTACGAGGTAAACTTCTTCTCTTTCCAATTTACCTTTCTGTGGTTTCTGTAACCCTAAATACCCTACTTTGAGTAATCGTTTGTTGTTTTGGGGTTATTTTTTCTGCAGGTAACAAGATACCTGTCATCGAAAACTTGGGTGCTACTGAGGTACTCTCTTGTTCTGTTTTAGTGACATGTTCTATTGGGTATCATTTCCCCTTTCTCTGCCAGCTGAAGAATTTGTAGATGCGGTTGTATTGTATGTTCTTAATTCTGCCTTGTTGGGGTTCTACACTCAAGTATTTTGAAAAAAGATCACTGAAAGAAACATTGCTGAATTTGAGCAATTTGCTCCTTTGTCGTAGTTTGCATCTGTTTTCCAACTCTTCTGAAGTATATCTTTGGCTTCGTGTAATCTCATTCGTATATTGAGAGCCAGTCTTCTCTAAGAAAGTCCTCCTATAGATTGTGTGTTAGGCCCTGTTAATTTGCATGTTTGAGGCTCTCTAATATGCTGTCCTGAATCTCCCCATCGTATTTTGGTATAGCACTCTAGCTATCTAGTATGCTATGAATTGATTTTGATTGGTTTACTGATTAACTTTTGTTGCTTTGCTTACAGGACCAATTCGATACAATTGATCTGTCTGACAATGAGATAGTTAAGCTAGACAACTTTCCATACCTCAACCGATTAGGAACTTTGCTCATCAACAACAATCGGATCACCCGGATAAATCCTAATCTTGGAGGTAACCTCTATGTGCGTCTTGTAATAAAATATAATTAATAACACATTGTTTGTGTTGTTGATAAAATGTGTTGTACTTATAGCATGGTTGTACTTCTGCAGAATTCCTGCCGAAGCTTCATTCTTTGGTAATTACAAATAACAGGCTTGTGAATTTGGTTGAAATCGACCCCCTTGCCTCCATTCCGAAGCTGCAGTACCTTAGTTTGTTGGATAATAACATCACCAAAAAGCCAAACTATCGCCTTTATGTGATTCACAAGCTAAAATCTCTTCGAGTATTGGATTTCATAAAAATTAAAGCCAAGGTAAGAACTTTATTCTGTGTTTATCCACTTTCCATATCCATTGCTGAAATGGTGATAAGAAATGTTGAAAGAAAGACCATTTACCTGACGAACATTGGTTCCTAACAGGAGAGAGCTGAAGCTGCTGCTTTGTTTTCATCCAAAGAAGCAGAAGAGGAGGCTAAGAAGGTTTCTCAGGAGGAGGTTAAAAAGGTGTCGGAAACTGTAGAAAACCCAGAGACTCCGAAAGTGGTGGCCCCAACACAGGAGCAAATTTTAGCAATCAAGGTGCGATTATCTCTAAATGTTGTCGTATTCATTTCCCAGTTGAGTAGCTCAACGAGGTTATAATCTTAAATCTTTCCAAGATGGAAAACACAAAAACTTCAGGAATTGGGTGTTGGAAGAGGAGAGACCCCGGAAACTGGATAGAACCAAACATATTTACTGTTTTGTTTGTCTTTATATTAAGTAAGGCTGTGTGTTTGATAGTAACTTTGGTGTTTCGTTTCCATGATGTTCCAGGCGGCAATTATCAACTCCCAGACGATAGAAGAAATTGCCAGACTTGAACAGGTTCCTTGCTTTTTATTATCAAATGTGTGCCTGATGTTGTTGCTTTTAGTTGATTTTGACAATTTTCTTTTATATTGGTTGTTGGACATATAGGCTTTGAAGTTTGGACAGGTTCCCGCAGGCCTGATAATTCCTGATAACAAGCCTGCATCTGGTGAAAAAACTGTGCTTGATGTTAATGAAGGTTCTGCTCCCATGGAGGTAGGGTTCTTATAAGAAACTGTTGCTTCTTGGTCTGTGAATCTTATAATTAAATGTAACTAACTAACTATGGGGGTATGATTACTTATTTTACTTGAATTTAGGCAAACCTCTTTAGGAAGAGGATCTAAGCTGCCTGAATTTGGACTTTGACTGAGTTCATGGTTATTGTCAGTTTTACGATATTTTCTTTGCTGGACTATAGAAATCAAACACTCTGCCGGTTACTATGAAAATGCTAAGTGAGAACCAATTTCCTGTGTCAGGACTAAGAACTCGGAAATAGTATTAGAGAAGTTCTTGTTTATTTGTGCTTTAAAGTCTAAAAGTTCTGTAGAAGTTACTTGGGATGACTACGTGAATTGTTTACTTGACTGGTTGAGTTGCTAGTTTGATTTCATTAAACCAATTGCATATAACATTTTTTATAGTTGTTTTTTTTATGAACTAAACGTTCCTGCAATTTATTTTTCTTCAGGAATAGAAGAAAGTGTGGAAGTGCTCCTCCAATCGTGGTAGCTACTGCTCGATTGTTCAGTAATTGTTTCTGACGAGCGGTATTGTAAGGTTTCTGTCAGTTGGTTAGGGAACTCATGCACAATAGGTGGAACCTGTAAACTAGTTACTGCTCGAGAGCATCTGTTTTGAACCCTTAAAAAGAGAGGCAAAGAGGATTGTAGTCTTTTAGTCTGCATTCGCAGGGAGAGAGAGGATGAACACAGTATTTGCTTATGCTCTTTTTGCACTATAGTTTCTTCTCATATTATTTTTGTATCTCCTCGATCAATGTCATGATATACTGAGAAACTTAATTAGATTAAAAAAAATTAGCAGGACCAAGAGATGAAAGTGCAAGCAAAAAAACATTAACATTCAATTAAAATGACTTTGCCATCAAACGGATCTCTTAGTCAGGAACTCCCAACTTCTAAGTGATTTGTTCAGATCAAACCAACAAACAAAGAGAGAAATAGAGATCGTTTTAGTTGCAAGGCTCAGGAGCAATGCCTAGGCGGGAATTGGGGATGTCAAACAAGATCCTTAGATTCTGCTGTTGGAGATTAGCGATCACGTTTAAAACAGCGTTTGCGTTCTGCGGTATTCCCGCCATGGATAGACACGCCAGCGTTCCTGCGCTGCTGTGGATAAGACTATTCTCCATCGGCAGCTTCAGGTCGAGTGACGTCATGTGCAGCGTTATCTTTGGCGCCACATTCTCGTTATCCGCCGCGAAACACGTGTCAAACGATCCCAATGTCGAGAATGACCCGTTCACCTAGCGTTATATCATTGATAACATGTAACAAGATTAAATTATTAACGCAATCTTCCCATTTTCTTGATATTTTATTACTTCGTAGCTAGCTAATTGGTGATATTAACGGAATTAATTATTACCTGCTTCCTGAACTCGTCTCTAATGGCTTCGTAAACGGGTTGAGCAAAACGGGTGATGACAGTACCGGAATCGATGATCGTTCCGGCGCCGGAAACAGAGTCGAACGTCAAGAACTTTTGGTCAACGGGGACCTGGACGGAACCTACACTCACTCCGGTGAGATTGACATAGTAAAGTGAAGGACGGCGAGGGTTACGGAGGAGTGGGGTGTATCTGATGGATCTTGGTTGACCCAAGAGACCCAGTTTCAACGACCCGGAGAAGTAGAAGGACCTGAAGCTAGGGAGGCAGTATGAGAACACTCCTGAGTACAGCGTCGCCGTTTGTGACACCAGCGACATGGGCCCACGTCCCAGGCCCATTAGTCCTTGCGGAGGTAGAGAATTTCCCGAGGCAGAGTTGATGCAGCCGAAGGCGAAATTTGGGATGACGTCAGGGGATAAAGTTAGGGTGTCTTGGACGAGATTGGCGGAGAAGGATGAATCTCCGCCGTATGATTGGTTGAAGGAGCAGACTGACGGTTGTGGCGAGGAGGAAGGGCACGTGAGGCCATGTGCTTGAGTGCATTGTGCGGTGGAGCAAGAGACTGTTGAGTAAGTGGAGGAAGAGTTCGGGTTGAAGGCAGCTGAGGCGGCGGAACAGCCGGAGCAGCCGGAGCAAGGGAGCCAAACGGCGTCGTTGCTTGTGTCTAGCACCATGAACATGAGCTGTGGGGGAGTGCCGAGTCTGGCTCGGACGACGTAGTTTCCAGTGTGGAGCTGGTTACCGGAGGCGATAGGGGCGGAGGTTGGCTTTGGTTTACCGGCGACGAGGCTGGAGAGGTATGTGAGGCGGTGGGAGTCGGAGGAGGCCATGTGAAGGACGTTGTCTATCACGGAGGAGGAGGGGTGAGTGGGTGCGAAAGGTGAGCATTTGGCGTTAATGGGGATGATTGAGAGGTCGTCCGAGCCGTCCGGAGCTGCCGTTGAACATGGGTCACGGGTGGCGGTGGTGAATACGAACGGTACGAGAAGAGTAAAGAAGAAGAAGCAGTGGAGAGCAAAGGAAGCCATGGTCTTAGGATAACGTGATTGTGTGTTGATATATTTAGATAACATTCTTCGAGTGTGTAATGCTTTCGTCTTTATATATATGGCCAAAGAGATATTTGAAAGTGCGAAAATGTCCCTCGCTCGTTTGATATATGATTGGTGGGATCCGGTCCGTTCTATCTGGCACCAGCACAACTTGATCATCATCACATGCATGTGTGCAAAGATAAATGGTAAAATGTGTTTCTTTGGTAATTTTGGTCGAAATCCCTGTCTGATTTGGCTCTCTAATGTGGTGTGTCATGTTCGGTGGATCCAAGCAATCGATACATCTCTTACCTTTGTTGCCAATATCTCATGAAACATTGAAACTTACCAAAATTACAACAGTTATCGTTGAGACTACCTTATTCCTTTTTTTTTGAAACACATAAACTTGTTGATCATATACAGTTTCTTGATGAATACAGTTCATACTTTAATGCAAAGTTTTTGAGGGTTGAAAAAGAAGAGAGAAGTCACGAGGAGACATGGAGTGTGTTGGGAAGTAGTAGCCAGTGTATCAGTCAAGGGACCAAAGGCATATCGCATGTGAAGTGAAGTGTGATTTGGATAGTGATGATAAAAACAAAACAAAACTAACCAAATAATTGTGCTGCCAAAATCTGGACAAACTATAACAGACTGTTATTTGGTTTCTTCTTTCTCTTTTTATTCGGTTGGGACAAGTGAAGTATACATTTCACACCTATACATCGGTGTAATATGTGTAATGTTTCCAATGATTCTCAAATTATTACTTTTGTAGGGTCTTCATGTTAACTTTAAGACATATTTAGCACAAAGCAAAAACATAAAATCTTGGTGCTCTAACGAAAGTGAACAATCTTTGGTTTTATAAGTCCGTGACTCGTGAGCCTTATCGTGTTGACAGTGACAAACCAATCTTTCGTCATTTACCCTCATTGTTCGTTCACGAGACCTCTTAATTTTTTTATTATTATTATTATTATTTTTTGATCAAAGACCTCTTAAATTTTTTTTTTACCCTCAAAATAGTCATAATCATTCTTTTTATCTTTTGTCCATCCAATATAATACTACTAGCATCTACATCTACATCCGATTATATCTTCTAGTAGCAATTTGCTAAATGACCCTTGTATAATTCAGTGATCATTTTCCGATATTATGACCAAAAAACTTGTAATATCTTTAATCGTTGAAACAAAGTTTACTTAACGCCCAAAACAGTTTGAACACCCCACAAGGCGGCAAATCAATCAGGGATGATGGTCAACGTTCAGGAATATCTTACGAGCTAGCCTATATTGACAACCAGTTAGCTCTGTAAATGTCCTTCACACTGATTTGATGTAACAACAATATTCAATCATCAACTATAAAAAAATAAAACGATGAATATGAATACAACACATATACTGAGCCAAACAATGTTTATGTTGCTCTTATTAACTTACATCCACACCAATGCTTTAGGAAGTAAGCTGCGGGATTCGTAACTTTGCTTCCATTCCATAGCTTCACAAAATAAAAAAGATGGTTTTGATATCCCTTTGCACGTGTACATGTCTCCTGAGAAATGGAGATGATTTGATACTCGGTTACATACAAAGGCTACAAGTTGTACCAAAAGAGAGAAGACGGCTATAGACGAACTTTGACATTGACAATATCTAGATATAGTTATAAAGGCAAAACTATTTTGACATGCCCTCAAGATTATTGGTTTGGTTTGGAAATGAACAATAGGTCATGAACAATTGATGACCACTAACAAACCTTTATGAGGGTGAACACCGGATAAAGTATCTCACTTGATTTGCTAGAAGCTAAACTTGTTTACCTGTTTATGCTGAAGAATCCTCCTTTGGTTTAATTATCACAACAGGACAATGCGCGTGGTTGGTGCAGTAGTTGCTTACACTTCCCAGAAACATTCTGTTTTAAGAAGAAAAAACAGGATTCAATACTGGCTTTTGCTCGCTACATAAGGTTCACTCGCTAAAGAACGCACAGTAATATGGTATAAACATTTTCAAAGGGAAAGAGATTCCTGGATGCAGTTTTATGCTAGATGATGAGAGCAATGTCCCCTCAAAAATATAGGCTAACTGCATATATCTCTTGTAACCATGGCAGAAAAGTACGAAGATTAACATTTATTCAGTTTACTTAAGAGTTTTTCTGATTGTAGATCATCCATGTTGCAAGAGATAGACTATGTATCCCTCCAACCAAATAACAAGTAAAAAAAGCAACTTAAGTTATGTCTAGTGTACTAGGATTTGTCTAAGCCTCACTTAGACCAATCTGGTTGTTATTAGGCCAAAAAGCTTCCATTTGTAACAGCGGCTTATAGGAAACGGGATCAGATTCTTGTTCATTCATATACAGAGAAAGGTGCTAATGAGAATGAGAACCAATAGTCAGAAGTCAGCAAGGGAAAACTAATTTAGCATATGAAGCAAAGATTATACACCTTCAATTTGATGTAAAGCTAAAGTGGAAGAAGAGATATATATATATATATATACCTCTTAATGCGGCCATAAGCCCGGGAACCCATGACAAGTAGATCAGCATGCAAATCCTCTACAGCTTCACAGATCTTATACTTGGCATCCCCAATAACCACTTGGGTTTTCACATTTACCTGAAATCATTATAACTTGCTCATGAATCACCATCATCAAACCAATACGGATCACACATAAGTAATTGCTCCATAGATTATAACACTATCCGGAGACACACATAGATTCTAATCCATTAGAATTCAAGAAACTAGCTACTGGATCTGGACTATGAGGTTGATATTCCCATTAAATTTGAACAGGGGGAAACAACACTACTCACTGATTTCTCAGCACAAACTTGATGAGCGTGTTGGAGGATAGTATCGGTGATCCGCTTCTGGTGTTGCTCAATTGCAGCGGTGAAAGCAGGAACCTCAAGACCACCTTCATCGCATAACTCCAGAGTCAATTCAATTTCAATATATGATCAATGGTATAACATAACAAGATTACTACTAACGAGACTCAACTGGGACCGCCGAAAGGGATAGTTCCGGGACTGACGCCGGCGGCGACAGATGGCGAAGGCTGGACATGGAGCACGACGAATGATGAATCGGGAGAAGACGATGAGAGCTTGAGGTTGTCCAGAGCCCACCTCAGAGCTTCCATACTCACCTCGCTTCCATCTACCGCAACAACAACGCAAGTCAAGCTTCCTGAAACATCCATGACTTCTTCAATCTATCGATCTCTCTTCTCTGTGCTAAGTTTTGTGATTTTCAACTCTTTGGAAAGTTCACGAGGACGATGGCTTTCACGTCTCTTCACTGCTGATTTTAAAATTCGTGGCAAACAAAAAGGGTATATTTGTCAGTTTATAGCTAAAATTATGTAATGAAAATATTAAAATCATTTAAGTGCTAATATAAATAGAGATAAAGTTGCATCCGCGCGTGGGTTTCAAACGCGCTAGCATTTGTTGTTGACTTGTATTTTCGTTTTGGCGTCTCTCTCTTCTCTCTCACTCGACCCCCCGATTTCTGATCGCCGATCTCCGGCTTGGATTCTCCGTGTACCGTCGAGGCTTGTCCTCAGATTTCTGTGTTGATGAAGAAAACCATGGAAGTGTTCGATTTCAATGAAGATGACGAACTCGCTGAATCTGCAGCTGGAAAGCTGTTTGAAAAATTCACAAACCCTAGTCCTTGCAATTCTCCGCTTCTGCAACGCCAACGCATCCGGAGCTGTAAGTTATTTCTCTCATTCTTCCTTTTAAACTTCAAATGGCGATACCAATATATAATCTGGGATTGAGATATTGTAAACGGAGGTAAGTTTAGATAACATGATAATTCTTTAATCTATTTTAGTTTTCTGGACTCTTAGTGTATAGTTGCTTTGTTTCTGGAGTATGCAAGAAATAATGATACGAATGCTGCTGTGATTCTACAATTTTTGGGAGGCACTATAATACTCCCCAGATTCAAATCGTTTTGTATTATTTATGTATACTTATGGACATAATTCATTGTTGCCAGTCTGCAATGAGAAACGTGTTCAGAAACAAGAACCTGAAGGCCCAAGTTGTGCAGAGCCTGCTACTGTTGTTGACGATGAAGATGCTCCGACTTTAATAACAGAAGCTGAGGAGTCCAGAACTAGTCTCACGTTTCGTTTGGAAACCAGTGAGCATATAAAAGAAACAGATGCAGAGTACGTTAATCATGGTTTGATGTTTGGTTTGAATACTGAAGACCTTGCCAAAGAAACAAATGTTGATCACGATAATAATGGAATGATGTTTGGTTTGGATACCGACGACGAGATGAAGGACTCAGATGATGATCATGAATTGGTAAGTTTCTCTTGCCAGCCAGGCAAAAACAGTTACTATGCTGAAACTTCATCATATAGTCAGCGCCAACTAAACTCATCCTTTTCAGATTCTTCTTCCAGTGTATGTACATCTGCCATTTATTGCTTGCGTATTTCATGTCTGCTAAAGCCTTGCAGTTTTAATCGCTTCACATTTGCAGCAGGAGCAAAATGATATGATGTCAGCTATTAATGAAAGCTTCAGCGATCAATCTGCGTTGAGTGAAACTTCTGATTCAGAAGGTGATGAAGGTACATGCTACAGATTTTCATTATATTTCCTTGGTGATATACTTGGATGACCACCTATGTCTGACGGGGTATTGATATCAATGTTATTTGCGCTGAAAGATTGGATGGCTGAAAATTTCTTCAGTGATGTGGAAAAGGTAATGTGTTTTTAGTTTCTTAACCAATGTTAACGTAAGAGTTATAATTTGTAGACTGATGCCTTCCACATATCAGATTGACATAAGCACAGCTGTTGTAATGACTTCGGAGTATGTTATACTTAAGGATATGCACTGTGCTGCATCTCTGGTGATCTTTTCATGCAATGGCATAAAAATCAAGAGTTACCTCGCAAATAATGAAGAAGGGCCATTTTCTTGTGAATTTGGAGTTGAAGACATAGTTAGTATTCAATACAATTGGTACCAAAATGTGAGTTATTCATATATATTTCGTGCTTTTAATTTTGAAGGATACTTTATGGACACATTTTCTATCAGTTTTACAGTTTTTACTGGTCTTAGGTTGGATTGATCATTCTCAGAATTCGAATTCTACTGAAGGATGAAAAATGCCATGAAGATATGCAACACACCACAGGTACTCTTGGATATTGTATTTCAGCCATTCAGGCTATCATATAATTTTACCTGCGATCTTGTTATAATACTACCATTACATGATAGTGTTTAGTTATCTTAGGTACGTGAAACTGTTGCTGGTGAATTTTCGGGTGTTATATATTGTGGATCTTACTTTGAAAAAACTTGATAGCACAAAAAAATGAGTGTGTGTCATTAAAGGTTTATTTACTGTGTCAAACTGTAGGAAAATTCTAACATGTCACTATAACTTTTTCTCCAAATCATTGTATTTTCCAATGCATATACTCTGGTTGTTTTATTTCTGTTTATTCTTAATGAGTCTGTAGACTTTAACAGCGAATATGGTTTATCTGCAAAGAGTTTGGACAGGTATACAATTAAGAAAAGAATACAAATATATTACTACTATTTCATGCTTTCATTTGATTTTGATTTAACTTCGTCGAAATATTGCTAAATAAAAGTAGAATATAAAGTGAACTGATAATCTAATGAGATTTATTTAGTAATTTTTTTACGTGCAGTTTGTTAAATCGACCCATAATAGTTATTTCACCTGTTTGACGGCTGCATTCTAATTTGCATGGGAGGAGCCGTTTTCCTGTATGTTAGTGTTTAATGATGGCTAAGAGTTATAAGAGGAGTTGTTTTGATCGAATTTTCATTTTTGCAAAAGCCGAACAGTCTGGGTTATTAAGCCTCTCCTTTTCAACATAATGGTTCCCCCCTTCTAACTTTTTGTATCGCTTCATGTGGTTTCCAGACATTGAGGAGTTAAAGATTGCGGTGAAAGAACACAATTGGCCTGAGAAGCAACAAAAGATAAACTTGCTGCATGTGAAATACCCGGCTTTGTGGAATCCTGACTTCGAGTAAGCTTCTAATATTATGGAGTGCTAATTAAAAATTACATTTTCTCTGCCCAGATTAGTGTATTTGCATACTCTGCTAATGAGAAATATTACTTGTTGGATATCTGATATCTAGGAAATTGTGAACTACACTTATGAGTATGAGTTATTTGCTTTAAACTCTATGAGAACCTAAACTTAATTAGGAAATTTGACTTAAAGCCTTTGAAGCTTAAAATAGACAACACCTTAAGTGAAAAGCGAACTGCATATAAAAGGAATTACTATAGACTTCCTGAGGGGAAACTGGACCAAATCTTCAGAAATCTGATGCTGGGTTCGTATTTAGTTTTTGTTACTTTGTAGGCGCTTTTGTGAGTTATTCTTCCAAATTCTCTCATAACTGTTTCTTTATTGTAGGGTTGACGTGGAAGTATCAGGGGATAACTTGAATCAACAGAAGCGTTATTTTCCAAGGTAAAACTGCTCTATAAGAGCTGTTTTTTATGTCTGTGGATTTAAATGTTAACTTCTGTTCTACTTTTAGGCTACATTATTCCAAAGTATATCATTACCTATACGTTATGGCTCTCTGAAGTATATAACTGAACATGTGCATGTTCTGGAATGATTGCAGTTCATTCATGTTTTGGGTCACGTTTTCTATGGTGATGCAAATTCTTACCAAAAACTTGTCAACCATTAGGTGATGGTATTTCATACTGAATTGCTAGCTTTATGTTGTCTTTTCAGCTTTGATGAACCGTTTGAGGATGTTGTCTATCCAAAGGGAGACCCAGATGCTGTTTCCATTTGCAAAAGAGATGTTGAGCTCTTGCAGCCAGAGACATTTGTGAATGACACGATCATTGACTTTTATATTAAGTAAGTTCTAAAATTTAATTCCTCTGATGCAATGCTTACACGTTGCAATACTCTGGCATGTTTTGTTGTGAACTATTTTTTTGTTTGCTGTTTAGTTATCTGTCATTTTGTTTATGGTCTTATAATTCACAATTTTAGTAACACAGTGCTTGCAGTCATACTGAAAACTTCTTGTGATGCAACCTTATTCAACCTTTTTTGTGTGTTCTTCTATTATTTACAGTTATCTAAAGAATCAGATTCAAGCGGAGGAAAAACATAGATTCCATTTCTTTAACAGCTTTTTCTTTCGGAAACTTGCTGATCTTGACAAAGATCCTTCAAGTATAGCTGATGGAAAGGCTGCCTTTCTCCGTGTTCGTAAGTGGACAAGGAAGGTGGACATGTTTGGCAAGGACTACATTTTTGTACCGGTGAACTTCAAGTGAGAACTTTATGGTAGTTCTCTTTATGTTATATTTATATGAGTTCAAATTCTGACATTGTCTAAATCCTAACGACAGTCTTCACTGGAGTTTAATAGTTATATGTCACCCTGGTGAAGTGGCTAATTGTACAGGTAATGCAACATCTCACTTTGTTTTTCACTTTGTCATGATCATCCAGCTGCTGATTATTATGTTGTATGTGCAGATCTCGACTTGGATGACTCCAAAAAGGTACCATGTATATTACATATGGATTCTATAAAAGGGAGCCATGCAGGGCTTAAAAATCTAGTCCAAAGGTATGTTAGCTTTCTTGTACCCCTGTTTGGTTTAGTCATCTAATCTCTGTCCCTTCCTATTTTAATAGCATTGCATATACTTCATCTATTGGATTGAGCAAAGATGTTCGAGTTTTCAGCTGAGTAAAGCAATTTGCTGATAACAGCATTTTTCTGATTCTAGTTACTTGTGCGAGGAATGGAAGGAGAGGAATAAAGAGACACCAGATGATATTTCTTCTAGATTCATGAATTTGCGGTTCGTCTCACTTGAGGTGCCGCCTCTAACCTTAAAATACTTTGGCTGATTCCAGGAACGTTCTTAATACCTTAATGTTGTAAGGCGAATGAGAGAACCCTTTAAACCTTATTCGAATTGAGGTTTAGGGTTATGTTATATGTTAAATTTTTCAGGGGTAGAAAATTAGAAATTAAAATCCTAAACCCCAATCCCTAATCCCTAAACCACAAACCCTAAGCCTAACCCTACTCCCAACCCCTAAACCCTAAACCCCAATCTCTAAGCCCTAAGCCCTAAGCCCCAAACTCTAAACCCTAAACCCCAAACTCTAAACCCTGAACCTCAAATCCGAGACCCTTTTTTAAGTTCAATAATTTTCCTGCTAAATAGTAAATACTTTTTGCAGTTGTTAATGATAGTTTATGTGATGGCAAGTGTTCGTTCTTTCTATTTCAGTTGCCACAGCAGGAAAACTCATTTGACTGTGGCCTCTTTCTGCTGCACTATCTGGAGCTATTTCTTGCTGAAGCTCCCCTTAATTTTAGTCCTTTCAAGATATATAATGCTTCCAACTTTGTAAGTCTATTCTAATTGCTACTTTAATAAGCTTGCCAAACTAAATCCTTCTCACCCGCAATCGTTTCATAGATGCTTGGTAGAATAGTTGCTCTCTTGCTGTCGGGTTGGTTTCTCCAGTTGTGTTATCTGCTTAGTGTAGACGTTGTCTCTTTACAGACCAATCAAAATACAGTCTTCTGCTTACTTCCTGGTTTCATGAGTTAGTTTGAAAGAAGTTGAAGTGCTATATACTCTAAGAGCTGCTGGGTATCTGTATTCTGTAGCAGTCCCTTTATGTGCTGATCATGCTTTTTCTCTGGTTTTCTCAGCTTTACCTGAACTGGTTTCCTCCAGCCGAGGCTTCGTTGAAGCGTACTCTGATTCAGAAGTTAATTTTTGAACTCCTTGAAAACCGGTCACGGGAAGTTAGTAATGAACAGGACCAGTCTTGTGAAAGTCCAGTTACCGTCAATAACAATACCGGCATGGAGGTTCTCTCTGAGAGATGCAGCCCCTTGATAGACTCTAATGGGAATATTGGACAGCTGCAAGACGATCAAGGAATAGAAATGACTTTGCTTGAAAGATCTTCCATGAGGAACACGCAAGCTGCTAATGATTCGGGTATGGTACTAAGAGATTTATTCGATTCAGGAGCCACCAACACAGGATCGTTACTTGTACAACTACAACAACCGTTCGAGGAACCATCTTCATTTTATGATCTTAGCAACAACTCATTGGCAAGAGAGGTACTAATAGCTCTGCAAGCTAATGATCAGATTTCCTTATATTTGAAACGTTAATTTTGATTTTATTATTTGTGCTCTCTTTTGGGCAGCAAGTGGATATGGAAACTGGTGAGCAGTTTATGTGTTTGAACGCTGGGGAGGGAAACTTTCAACGCATCACTGAAAGTACCTCTCCGAGAACATCTAATTCATTCTCTTCATGGAACCTTGGTATTCCCCTGGTGCAAAAGGAAGATGAGACCGATTTGTTATCTGATACTTCAAAAAGCACTTCCAATGATGCAGAAGATGTTGATACCATGGATGACAACCCAGTGGAAAATATTAATGAGGAAGAAACGGGCGAGAGTCCTCCAAGAGAGACCGTCTCTTTATTATCTGCAACCATGAGCTCTACCACTGACCATAACACTCAGAATGAAGAGCACGTTGAGCTTGAGGTTCCATCGAGTCAAGTTGACAGAGACGAGGAAAAGCCATTGGAGCATGATCTTGAAATGGGGGACAAGACGAGTAAAGATGTTGGAGATGATTGTGATGAGCAGGAGGAAGATGAGAAGCGAGCTGCAAAACGGCCAAGGCTATCATCTTCCACATTTGAAGTTGATGAGATCGAGAAGACTTAGAGATTGTGATATGTATAACCGGTCTTGTGTTGGTTCATGGATGGTTAGACTAGATTATTTATATGAAACGTTTAGGAAGTGTTTATAAAACATTGTAGAAGATATTAAAAAGAAAAAGGAAAGAAAATGTCTTTTTGTGGTTGATGAACATGAAACATGTAAAATTTCGATGCCTTAACTTAGGGTTGATGAATATAGAGTTTTTTTTTTTTTTTCTCATAAGAAATTTTATTGATATCATACAACATACAAACTTAGCCCCAATAACCAGGGATACATCAGCCCGATAACATGATTCGGGATAAGGAAACAAACTTAAGCCTACGATTATGGAATATCTAGATTTCTTACAACCTTCACTTACAGTTGCTTTCCAAAGACTTGAAAAATATAATCGCCAAGAAACTATCAATTTCATATCTGATTCTCAAGTCTTCTTGTCTTCACTTGATAATAAAGAGACTTCGGCAATGAACACTTTTGCTTCCTGAATTGGCATAACGGAACCTCGACTGAGGCGAACTGAAACCGTTTTAAAAAGCCATGGCCGGTTTTGTCGAACGAAACGACATCGGTTGTGAGGAAACAAATAACTATCCAGATATCGATCAATCTGGTTAAAAGTTCTATTGGAAGAGACTACGAGAGGGAGCCGCCCAAACGGCAACACCAAAGCCAAACACACAACTTGTGAACGGCGGTGGATCGAACCGAAACAGAGCCAAGGAAAGCATTATGAAGGATGGAAGAAGAAACATGTTAAACCATAATCCAGCAAAACCACAAACACATCCAAGTTTTAATTATTAGCGCCAATAAGTAGGCGACGGCAAGTCCGGCACACACCGGTAACATAAGCTAGAAGATCGAGACGGCAAAACACGCCGGAAAATTCCGGACAAACAAAAACCAGAATCATTCGAAATCAATTCTTCAAACGAAAGAATCGATAGTCCGAAGATCTGGAGACTAAAGCCGAATCGATGTTGGAGCTATGAGAGCCTCCAAACACCGATCGGAAACAAAAACAGCAAGAACTTTGATTGACCTGCTTTGAGAGAGAAAGAGAGCTTTCTTCTTCGGAAGGAAAAAGAAAAAGAGAGTCGACAATTTTGAAATATAGAGTTCTTTTTGTGTTTTTTTTTTTTTTTTTTTTTTTTTAATAATTTATTTATTTATCTGAGGTTCTTCTGAGTAATTTTTATAGTCAAATGCGTCTTGTCCCTGGCTGCTTTCCCATGTTTGAAAATTAAACGATAAGAAGTAGCTCGTAAGTAATAAGATTTAGTTAGAAGCTTGTCATCAATAGATATACAGAGTATCAAGCTTTCTATATGTATATTTATCAAACACAAAATATGAATTCTCAATTTTTTTGGTTCAAATCAGTTTCATCCTGTTATGGTTACTTACGGGGATTGGTGAACTGACGGATTCTATAACAGTAATGCAATGTAACAATTGGCCTTTTATTTTTTTGTCGGTTACAAACCAGTTGAACTACCAATTGTCTTATATAGTCATTTACAGTAGAATAATTAACCATTTTAAATAACAAAGAAAACAATATACCATCTTCCAAATTTAGGTTTTCTAGTTAAAACCCACCAGGAAGAAATTTAAAATTTATAAGAATCTTGTTTAAAAATATGAATTAACATTAGAATTGAGAGGAAAAAAACACACAATAGCAGAAAAAGAAAAAAGAAAGAGGAATGCAGATCATAAAAAGAAACTGATGTTGCAGAGAGCAGCGAGCAATGCGTATTCATGGTGGTGGGCCAGCCACATACGCACAAAACAATCCAAATGGCTCGAACACAATCTCCAAGGTACGTTCCTTCATGTTTCCACGTAACAGTTGTTCATTTCTCAATGCAAAGAAACCTCATTGAGTGTAAAGCCTCATTGAGTTTTTTCTCCTGAATCCTAGATATGGAGGAGAAGGTTAAGTACACGCTTAAGATCATCGATGAAGATGGAGACACTTTTGCTAAAAGAGCGGAGATGTATTACCGTAAAAGGCCTGAGATTGTTAGCTTCGTGGAGGAAGCGTTTCGGTCATACCGTGCTTTAGCAGAACGCTATGATCATTTGTCCACAGAACTTCAAAGTGCCAACCACATGATCGCTACCGCTTTCCCTGAACATGTTCCATTCCCTCTTGGGGATGAAAATGATGAGGATGATGATGGTGATAATCCCGAGAAACCACCTAAGCATCTTCATCTCATCCCCAGTGGAACTAGCATACCAGATGTCCCTGAGCTTCCCAATAAAGAGTTCAAGAGCCAATCTCTGATGATGTTTTCGAGAAAGGGACCTGGTGTTATGAAAATTTCAGCATCTTCTTCTGCATTGATGAGTTCAGGATTAAGTAAAGAAGAGGCATTGGAGGAGATCGATAAGATTCATAAGGGGATCTTGGTGCTGCAGACAGAGAAGGAGTTTGTGAGGAGTTCTTATGAGCAGTCTTATGAAAGGTACTGGAATCTGGAGAATGAAGTAGCAGAGATGCAGAAGAGAGTTTGCACTATACAAGATGAGTTCGGGGTTGGTGCAGAGATCGAAGATGGTGAAGCTAGGCGGCTTGTGGCAAGCACTGTTCTAAGCTCCTGTAAAGAGACAATTGCTAAGCTTGAGGAGACACAGAAGCGATTTTCGGAAGATGCAGAAATTGAGAAGGAAAGGATTGATACTGCAACAGAGAGGTTTGAGGCACTGAAGAAAAAGTTTGAGATTAAGGTGGAAGATCAAGTCAAGAAAGCTTTTGATGGTCAAGAACAGAGTTACGAATCTGTGAAAGAACTGAGAGAGGTTGACTTGAATGAGGACTTCAGTAATGTGGACTTTACTGACAAGATAGATAAGCTTGTAGAGAAAGTGGTCTCTCTGGAAACAACAGCTTTGTCTCACACGGCACTAGTAAAGACATTAAAATCAGAGACAGATGAGTTACATGAACATATCCGCGGTGTAGAGGAAGACAAGGCATGTCTTGTATCAGACTCCATAGATATGAAGAAAAGGATAACGGCCCTTGAAGATGAGTTGAGTGAAGTTAGAAACCTATTCCAAAGAGTGGAAGATCAGAACAAGAATTTTCAAAAGCACTTGACTGAAGCTAATAACACAGCTGAAAACTTGTCTGGGAAGTTACAGGAAGTGAAAATGGATGAAGATGTCGAAGGTGATGGCCTTAACTCGGAAGATATCCAGGAAGAGGATCCTATTGAGGAATTGAACCCAATTCCAAACGAAAGAGAGATAAAGAGTGCAGAAGAAATCAAAGAGGCCATTGTAGTCCAACATAGTAGAGATCAAGAATCTGTGCAAGAAGAGAAATCGGAGACAACAGACTCTTGTGGTGGTTTATCAGAAACAGAAAGTACTTGTTTTGGCACTGAGGCGGAAGATGAGGAGAGGAGAAACTGGAGGCAGTTGTTACCTGCAGATGGCATGGAAGATAGAGAGAAGGTTATATTGGATGAATACACATCAGTACTAAGGGACTATAGAGAAGTGAAGAGAAAGTTGAGTGAAGTTGAGAAGAAGAACCGTGATGGATTCTTTGAGCTGGCATTGCAGTTGAGAGAGCTAAAGAATGCTGTTTCTTGTGAAGACATGGAATTTCATCTATTACGCCAGAAACCACCAGTTCCCGGCAAGGATTCTCCACAACCAATAGAAAGAGGCCTGTCTCACAGTATGAGCATTTCTCCTATCTCTAACTCTTCAATTTTCATGGCACCACATCAGCAAGGAGGAGAATTAAAAAGAGCATCTGAACGAGCAAAGGAAGACGAGGTTAAGGTTAAATTTTCAGATATTGATGACAGTCTAAGAAAGAAAATTCCAACTGTGGAAGAAAAAGTGCGTGGAGATATTGACGCGGTACTGGAGGAGAATATCGAGTTCTGGTTAAGATTTAGTACATCTGTTCATCAGATACAAAAGTACCAGACATCAATTCAGGACTTGAAAGCAGAGCTATCGAAACTTGAAAGCAAGCAGCAGGGTAATGCTGGAAGCAGTAATAACACTGTACTTGCGTCAGAGGCAATGCCTATATATAGACATCTTAGGGAGATTCGGACAGAGCTGCAGTTATGGCTAGAGAACAGTGCAGTTCTGAGAGACGAACTTGAGGGAAGGTATGCAACACTTTGCAATATTAACGATGAAGTTTCAAGGGTCACGTCTCAATTGGGTGGAACGAAAGTAAGCAATGTAGAGATAAGCAGTTATCAGGCTGCAAAGTTCCACGGTGAGATACTTAACATGAAACAGGAGAACAAAAGGGTGTTCAACGAACTTCAAGCTGGCCTTGATCGTGCAAGAGCACTGAGAACTGAAGTGGAAAGAGTTGTACGCAAACTAGAAGAGAATCTTGGGATCTTGAATGGGACGTCTACAAGATCTCTGAATAAGAGCACTTCATCATCAGCTGGAAAGCCTAGGATTCCACTAAGGTCATTCTTGTTTGGTGTCAAGTTAAAGAAATATAAACATCAACCGAAGCAAACCTCAACAATCTTCTCTTGTGTCAGTCCATCTCCAGCTCTGCAGAAACAATGTAGCTACATTGTCGCACCTGTAAAGCTCCCTGAATATGTCAAAAGAAGCTGAGGAAGTGGTCTCCTTCATAAGTCCTGAGATTCAATTTTAACTATATGTTCTAGAGTTTGGAGATTGTAAGTATATGAATTCGTATTAATTAGTACCATGTACTGAAGGGCCTCCTTTACATCATATCTTTCTTTCAGTCATCTAACAAAAATTAAAAATGAAAACTCCAAACTAAAGTCACCGAAAATTCTATCAAAGAACTAAACACCCTGTCGGGTCCCTGCCACAGTTGCAACCTTTGGAGATTGTCCACATACACCACTGACTTTGATCGCCTGTCCAACCTTATTGTTTATTTCACATTTGGCTTTAGATTGTGAACCAGCTCCTCTGACGGATGGTATTACAGTCTTATCAGATGGTTTATCCACCAAATTTTTGTTAGTGTCACCGTGAACAGCAGTCTGAACTACTGGAATTTTCCTAGGCAAAAGATTATGGGACTGCACCTGTGTAGCCTGTTTTTCCCTGCTAATCTCCGAGTTTGGTGAGGTCATTTGATTTGGCTGGATTGCAGCCGATGAGCTTGCTCCATTTACACGAGCTTGCTCTTTCTGTCCACCATCTAGTTTGCAGGTGACAATCTCAGCAGCTGGCTTTAGTTGTAATACAATAGCTGGGACAGAGGCTGCAAAAACTCTCTGATTGTAGACTATACTCGATTCAGATGCACAGGGGGCAGAAGCAGAAAGCATTGCCGATCCTGCTTAACGAGGAGCCATGAGAGGACATTTGTTTGAAGAGGATAAAGTCGTCACAGGTTTCAATTCTCCAATAGCTAACGGTAGTGCATTCGTAGGTCCAACCGCTTTAATGATACTAGACGAGGTAACATTCGTTCCTGGTTCAACCTTTGGCACAGAGAGACTACCTGAGGGCTGAGGCATGCAGGCTGTAGAAGCAATTTTTACAGGTTCTGTCTTTGGTACTAATGGAGCATAAGTTTTTTTAGGTTCGACCTTTGGTACTGATGCAGCAGCTGATACGCCACCCGTGCATGCTGCAACAGCCACTGAATTAGCTGTTACCATAAGATCTAATCTGGAAATGGAGTGTGCTGTTGTTTTTTTAACAACTCGAGATTTTGAAGCTGGAACTGATGTTGCTGCCCGCGGCAATGCTAGAACAACTGGTTTGGACTATTGTTGACCTTGAGAAGAACTGGCCCCAATAACTTGTGTTTCTGTGATGCCACAAGATGAAATCATTGTCGAAGTATGACACCTTTTTCTTATAAGCGCCCACCTCTACAAATATAAAAGTCAGTTTGTTACCACCAATAAAGGAAAAAGAATAATTACATGCTAAACGTCACTTTCAAGTAGCTAAAGATGGATACAAATATCACAAAAATGGAGCAGATTTCCGAAGAAATGTAAATATGGATAAAAATATCATAAAACATTGTCTTATTAGCTGCCTTCTATGATTGCCAAGAGACTATTACTCATATCATACAAAGAATCTGTTGCCGGGATTCGAACCCGGAAAAATGAGGAGAACCCCACGTCCATACCAGACTAGATGACAACAGATATATATCTCAGAGTAATTACCACTGTGGTTCTTAGTCTGTATAGAGACACCTCCGACAACTAAAACAGGGAAGGCAATATCCATCAAATTTTTATCAACAGAATATAGATAGTGGTGCATAAACTGGTTGTGATACAAAGAACAGACTATAAGGGTAAAATGCACAAACTACAATCAAGGAATTTGGTGAAAAGAGAGCAGTCTTATATTGACTAAGAGAAATCACAACCTGCGAGAGTTGGGAGGCGGTTCTTTCTCCTCTAAAGTCTCCCTTAACGATATGTGCCCAGTTGCCTTCACCACATCGCTTTACAGCGGCGAACAGCTCCTCATCCTCCTCAGCAGACCATTTTTTCCTTTTCCTCCGACAAGCCATGCTACTACAAGCTGAATTATTTCCATTCACCCTCTCGGTAGATGTAGATTTCTGAAGACAAACCGGAAAGGTAATATTCATCCCTCTTGAGGACCACGGAGACTCTGATGGTTCTTTAGTCCCCTCAGGCAGAACATAAGGTATGTTTATAGTCAAGGGAGCCTCAACTGTTGAGTCGTCGAGTATATCGGACTCACTTGGCACATACGAAGTAGCCATCACCTGGTACAAATAGAGAGACGAATATTGGATGAAGAGGGAACTCCGGATAAGCACATATTTATATCTATAAAAAGTAAGCAACATCCTAATCACAACGAAAACAGAAAACTGACATCTTGAACAGAGTCTAGGAACTTCAGATTGAGGATACAACAATACCAGAGAAATACTAAAAATCAAGTCAGGAATGAAATTTTTGTGTTCCTCTTACTTTGACATGCGCAATAGCCTCCACTGATGCTTCATGGCTAACTGCAGGGGAAGCTTCCAATTCGCACTCCATGTCACTATCATCATCCTGCACAGGCAAGAGATACTCATCAATCCTTAATGCTACAAAGAAGGTTCAGTATCCAAATGCCACAGTGAACTGAAACAATTATTCAACACAGTGAAGAAAATGTATTACTGAAGACTCATTCGTCACACTCACTCACAATCCTAGATAAAAAGGATTATTCAAAGTAAACACAAAGTGGTGCAATATAAATATGAGTTAAGGAGAAAGAAGTACCAGAGGTTGAGCATCATCTTCCACAGGGAGGAGTGGTTCCCGATACGAAAGATGTCGCCATAGCAACTGATACTCTCTAGCATTGGTAATTCCTGTAGTGGTCTTCTTCACCAATTCATTCCAATCCATCTTGAATTCGGAATAATAGGCCATCTCCTGCAGCATTCTCAGAATCGTCTTCATATCATACCTGCATCAAAACTCAGCTAACTAAGCCAAATCCACTACCTTTTCGGAAATTTGCCAATTAAAAAAGGAGAGATATTTACCTCAGCAAAAGAGAGATGATGTCGCCTTCAGTAATGATTCTCTTCCTGCTATAGCTACTACTATCAACCATCGTCGTATTGTATGAAACAGAGAAGTTTTTGGCTGTACAACAGGACCAAAGGAATCAAATTTCACTAAAAGCACGAAGATCCTGGAGATATATATATGTACAAAGAAAACCGATAACGACAATCGGGAAAAAGGATTGTCACAAGTGTTTGAAGCGCGTGTGGCAAAGAAAAGGTAACAAAACGAAAGAGAGAGATATGGGCCCAAATATTGTGTTTGTTTTACATGGGCTTTAGTACTTGTAAGTTTTCTAACTGCGAACCGTGAATATAACAACAACAACGATATTGTGGTGATTTTGATTTTGTGGGAAGACAAGACACTGAAGAGAGAGAGAGGAGTCGAGGGGGGAGGGTTTTTGGTGAAGGGCTTAAATCTTGTCTTTCTCTCGGCGCTTCTTCGCAGCATCATACTCACGCGGTGCCGAGGAACAAGTTCCTCTTTCTCGCTCTTCCCATACTACTTCTCAGCTACATTCTGCTCGTGAAGATGACCACCGCCAATGATCTTTCTACTGGTAAATTACCTTCTTCTTCATCATCTCTGTATTGTCTTCAATTCTGTTTATGGGTTTTTTCTTTTTCCGGTTTTGATTTTGTTACCGCTTCTTCTTCTTCTTCTTCTTCTCAATTACTTGGTCCTGGGAAAAAGTGTATTTTTCCTTTGCGAGTTTAAGCGTAGATCTCTCAGGGAAAAGCTTTCTTATTTCGCAATTTCCAATCTTTTCCATACAAGTCAGTAGATTTGGTTTGTTTTCAGCTCTGTAAGAACTACGAAAAGAGACTACTGTCTTGATTCTACTTCAAGTTGAGATTGATTAGTCATACATATATGAGCATCCATTAGGGACTTTACTCTTTTCGGATGATGGTTTAATTTACTCCATTTACATAAATTTGCAAGTTAGATGTCACTTTACTTAAGCTAATTGTCTCTCCCCTTTTGGATAAGTATAGTTTCTCTGAAAAAGTTGTCAAATTTATGCTTGCCTTCACATTTGTAATTGAGGATTTGTTCACTGCTTTTCCCTCTTGTCGTTTTGAATTTCTTATGCTGTAAATCTGTAATGGATACCATCCTAGGGTTTCCACTCCATCAACGTTTCTGTTTTGTCTTTACGCTCATTTTGAAGTATTTCCTCCTCAGGTGTTTCCAATTGCTATGTGTTCAAAAGCCGGTTGCAGGAGTATGCTCAGAAGTACAAGCTCCCAACGCCTATTTATGAGACTGTCAAAGAAGGCCCTTCACACAAAGCTTTCTTCCATTCGACAGTGATACTGGATGGTGTCAGATATAACTCTTTGCCTTGGTTCTTAAACCGTAAGGCTGCAGAGCAATCAGCTGCGGAGGTTGCTCTCCAGGAATTAGCAAAATCCAGTGACCCAAGCCAATGTGTTTCACAACCTGTTGTAAGCACCCCATCTTTCTTATCTTGTGATTATTTTTAAGTTCACTGGAAACTATTTCAACTAGCGTAGGCGTAGGCGTAGGGTTTTAGCAGCGAATTGTAGCTTTGCCAGCCCAGCAGCAGACCTTATGGTTAGTTTGAGAGTTGAAGGTTCAAAGGGGAACTGTGAGAATACGTTAGGGGGCTTCTTGGTTTGGGTAATGATCGAGACTCAGAGTTTAAAGGATCCACTCGTAACTCAAGTCTCTTCTGTGGCGTACTTCTTTGCTAAATTGAACCTAGGAGGAGTCTTAGGGCTTCAATCTTATCAGATTTGTGTGCATAGCCAACTTCTAGAGGGAAAATTTTTGGGCTATTTCTGTATCTTATGTGCTCTTGGCTAACTTTGAATGACACATTAATGCAGCATGAAACGGGGTTATGCAAGAACCTTCTTCAAGAGTACGCTCAAAAGATGAATTACGCGATTCCATTGTATCAGTGCCAAAAGATTGAAACTCTTGGGAGAGCTACACAATTCACATGTACTGTAGAGATTGGAGGCATAAAGTACACGGGAGCTGCAACAAGAACTAAAAAAGATGCTGAGATAAGCGCTGGAAGAACCGCTCTTTTAGCGATCCAGTCAGAATCTAAGAAGCTTGCCAACTACAACACTGAGCTTACTCTACTCAACTTCAACACTCAGCTCACTGTACTTCCTTTTGATAGGAAGTCATTCGAGGCAGTGATCCCAGTTAAAGAAACTATCAAGACTCCAAAATCCAGGAAGGCTCATTTCAAGAGGAAAGCTCGGAAAGGAAAGCGCAAAGTAGCTAAGGATGGTGAAGATATGCTCATCCCTCCTCAACCTACCGAGCATTGTCAAAATGATCAGTCAGAGAAAATTGAGACAACGCTGAATCTGGAACCTTCGCTGTGCATGAATGGGGGTAAGGAAGCAGCATTTGGGAGTGTAGACACAGAAGCAAGCCAAGCATAACTTGTATCTCAAGATGGGATCTTTGTGAGTTTGTCATAGGAACTATTTGGTTATGTAGCCATTTTGTGATTCCAATCATAGTGTTCACAGGTTGAAGAGAAGTAATAATTGGACGGAAAAACAAAAAAGAAGGAAAAAGATAATTAATAACTTAAGAGTCTTAGACATTGATGTAATACGATTTGGTCGATTGTTGTTGAGTCATTCGAACAATAGTGATTTTTGTACGAAGTTATAAAGAAACGTGAGGTTCATTTCTACACAATTACATAACCCATAACAACTCAGCAGTCTCTCACTCCTTTTTTTAAGGTGGGCCATTTTAAAGAAAACAGAAGCCCAAATTACTGACCCAACAGGCATACGAAACCCTAATCTCAAAAGAGAGGTATAAATAGACTCCGCCTTAGTAATTCCATTTCTTCGGCGATCTAGGGTTTTAGTTGACGCACGAGGAGGAAAAATGCCGGCAGGTCATGGAGTTCGGGCGAGAACGAGGGATCTGTTCGCGAGGCCCTTCAGGAAGAAGGGTTACATTCCACTCTCGACCTACCTCAGAACCTTCAAGGTCGGCGATTACGTCGATGTTAAGGTGAATGGTGCGATCCATAAGGGTATGCCTCACAAGTTCTACCACGGTCGTACTGGTCGTATCTGGAACGTTACCAAACGCGCCGTCGGTGTCGAAGTCAACAAACAGGTCCGATGAACTCTCACATCTCTTTAACTTTGGTCTTAGTGGACTAGTATTGGATCTTATAGCTAGATTTTGGATTGTTGATATGCCGAACTTATGTTGAAATGTCTGATTGAGCATTGTTTAGTAGAACGTAAATATCATGTGAGCTCAAGTTTAGAGTGGTATCTCAAAGTTTTCAATTTCAGTTATACAGTAGCGTTGTTCTTGATCCAGATTGAGATTCGAAATTTGATTGCTTAGGTTTCGTTTATTCTTCAGCCTTAACATAGTTCGTTTTGCATTATTAATTCCTTTCTGTAATCTAATATTACTACTGTTTGGACCAGCTCTTATGTTACATTGTTGAGTCAATACTTGGACTCTTGGTCATTGAAATGCTAGCACGATTGGTTTCATGACTATTGCATTGCTGTGGTCTGGCTTCAAATCATCCGGTCTCTTTATATGTTATTGTGTCATTTACTGACATATATATGTTTGTGGGTGTTTCAGATTGGTAACAGGATCATAAGGAAGAGGATCCATGTGCGTGTGGAGCATGTGCAGCAATCAAGGTGTGCAGAAGAGTTCAAGCTGAGGAAGAAGAAGAATGATGAGCTTAAGGCTGCAGCTAAAGCTAATGGCGAGACAATAAGCACCAAGAGACAGCCTAAAGGACCCAAACCAGGATTCATGGTAGAAGGCATGACCTTGGAGACTGTCACTCCAATCCCTTACGATGTTGTCAACGATCTCAAGGGAGGCTATTAGTTCTACCTTCCCAGTATTTTGCAGTTTCTTCTTGCGTTTCTGAGTTTCTCTTCATGTGTCTTAGCTACAATTTCTGTAGAATGCCCAGATATTCTTCTATGAAGCAAAACTTTTGTCTCGTTTATAACCATCACACTCCTTATCTCCTTTCTTTTATTTGTGTTATCATTTACCACCATCTTTATTTGATGATGATCAAATGCTTTTGTTCGAATAAAGCAGCTTTCAATCAAGATGTTGAAGGAGACATTTTTATCTCTTACCAGAACTGATAAGAGTATGACACTCGAGCTTTCTGTGACATGTCTCACATTGAACCATAGAACTTAAAGCAAACCAAAACATACCGTCTTAACATAACGGATTATTCAAAAACCCGGTTTAATCATCGCTGACTTTTTAAATTCAAAAGTCTCTCCAAGTAGCCGGCGCCGGAGAAACTGAGAGAGTCAGAGATGTTCAGAATCGAATTTCTGAGAAGCACACTGACTCGATCTCACCCTCAGAGAATTTCTCGTGTATCGTCTCTCTCATCAACATGGTACTCTCCAGAATCAATTTCTCAAGCTGACAACGACGCTGACCCAGTTCTTGTCAAACTCTCAATTGCCATCAGAGATGCTTACAAGGATCCGCCATTGGAGCTCTCTTGTTTTACTGCCTGCCCCTCTATCAGAAAGGTTCTACCTTCGCTCAGCGTTCGTCATGTTGTGGATCTCATCAACCGCAACCCTCTCTCCCTCCCGCACCGTTCTATCTTCGCTTTCTTCAAATTCATCTCATCTCAGCCTGGATTTGGGTTTACCGCTGAATCCTACTTCGCCATGGCTCGTTTTCTTGCTGCTCACAAAATGTTCGCGGAAGCACAATCACTTATCGAGCTCGTCGTCTCTCGTAAAGGCAAAAACTCGGCTTCTTCAGTCTTCGTTGCTTTGGTAGCAATGAGAGGAAGTCCTATGTTTAATTTCCTTGTTGATGCTTTGATGATCACGTACACGGAACAAGGATTCATACCCGATGCTATTCAATCTTTTAGGCTATCTCGGAAGCATAAATTCGTTGTTCCAGTTCGTGGCTGTGGTAATTTGCTTGATCGGATGATGAAGCTGAATCCAACTGGGACTGTTTGGGGATTCTATATGGAAATTTTGGATGCTGGCTTTCCCTTGAATGTGTATGTTTTCAATATTTTGATGAACAGATTTTGTAAAGAAGGCAAAATATCTGGTGCCCAGATGGTGTTCGACGAAATAGCTAAAAGAGGCTTGAAGCCTTCAGTTGTTAGTTTCAACACTTTGATAAATGGTTACTGTAAGATGGGAAACTCAGATGAAGGGTTTAGGCTCAAACATAATATGGAGAAAAGCAGAGCACGCCCAGATGTTTTCACCTATAGTGCCTTGATTAATTCATTGTGTAAGGAGAGTAAGATGGATAGAGCACATGAACTGTTTGATGAGATGTGTGAGAGAGGGTTGATCCCAAATGATGTTATTTTTACTACTTTGATTCATGGTCATAGTAGGAGTGGACAGATTGATTTGATGAAAGAAAGTTATGAGAAGATGTTAGGTCGGGGTCTTCAGCCTGATATTGTTCTATATAATACTTTAGTAAATGGCTTTTGCAAGAACGGTGATTTGGTGGCTGCAAGGAAGATAGTTGATGGGATGATCCGTGGAGGTATGAGACCTGACAAAATTACATACACAACTCTTATAGATGGATTTTGTAGAGGAGGAGACGTAGAAACAGCTTTGCAGATAAGGAAGGAAATGGATCAGAATGGGATAGAACTCGATAGGGTGGGTTTCTCAGCTCTTATTTGTGGAATGTGCAAAGAAGGAAGAGTCGTTGATGCTGAAAGAGCTTTGAGGGAGATGCTGCGAGCTGGTATGAAGCCGGATGATGTAACCTATACAATGATGATGGATGCATTCTGCAAGAAAGGTGATGTTCAAACCGGTTTCAAACTGCTCAAGGAAATGCAGAGCGATGGGCATATTCCTAGTGTTGTGACGTATAATGTTCTGCTGAATGGACTATGCAAGTTGGGACAGATGAAAAATGCTGACATGTTGCTAGATGCCATGCTTAATATAGGGGCTGTTCCGGATGACATCACATACAACATCCTACTGGAAGGTCATCATAGACATGCAAATGCATCGAAGCATTATAAACAGAAACCTGAGATAGGGATTGTAGCTGACTTGGCCTCTTACAAATCACTAGTCAATCAGCTCTACAGAGCTTCAAAAGATCACCGGAATAGCTAACATCTGACTATTTGTTCCTGGATACGACTGAAATTTTCCTATTAATCACTAAAGGTCGTTTTTTCATCATAGGTAATATCTGAGAACTTGATACTCTTTTCATTCTTTTCTTTTTTCTTGCAATGTTTTCACACCCTTTGATTGTAATTTATGGGTACAGACGATTTGTTGATTTAGTTTTTCTAAACTGTGTATTGTTCCCTATGTTGGAGTCCATAATGTTTTAAATTGTATGTTTCAATTGTGGTGTCGATAAAAAAGTCCTTTGTATTTCTAGAGTGTGGATGTATTTTGTAGAGATTCATGTGGCATGTAGAAGTTTTGTGTTGGTCCTTCATACCTGATTCTATGAGGCTATATCAGATTGCTGCATGAAACTGGAGGAAAGCAGTTACAATTTTTGGTCTTTTGTCCATTGTTGTTAATCTTTTTGAGTATCTTAAATGGTTCGGCCATTGTCATCCTTGGATCCAATTTCTGTGTTTTTTATTCCAGTACTAATGTACTAATTAATACTGTAATGTAATATACTTGCATATATGAAAGTCCTCTCTCCTCTTTGTGTGCCTTGATGAGATGAGATTGATAAGTTGCAGAGAGTGTAGTTTCGGAGAAGGAGGCACATGGAAGAAGCATATAAGAGTGTAGAAGGCAGGTGTGAAGAATTGTGAGGCTGCCAAACTTGTAACATAAGCAATTGGGATTGTCTATAAAGTGTATCAGCATTTGTTAAAGTTGTCATGTTGCTTCTTGTGTGTAGATCAGTCGTTATGAGAGGATAGTTTCCAGGGAGCGAAGCTTTGGCGAACTATCTCTCATGTTTGTAGTGGTTCTTTAATATTGCTGGTGTGCATTATTAATACACTTGTAAATTTTTTACGTGGATAAAGCAAACAAAAAAGTATTTAGTTTTACTTTAAAACTTTTACATAACAAAAGCTTATCAGGGATGATAAGTGTAGGATTCATTTTTATTTTAGAGTTTTTATCGCTAGATACAATTTTTTTTTTATTAGAATAACAAAAGATACGAGAATTTACAGAAATGAAATGTGGTCTACCAATATTAACACAAAATAAAATTTATAGTTCTAGGTACTTGACACACCATAAATTAAGAATGGAGAAAAGCAGAACTATGAATTGTACGAAACTTTCAACTGAATTTGATCCTCTATATATATATATACCAAACAATATATTCTCTGTTTCTACGGGGTAGACTGACAGATTGGTCTTCCATTTTCTAGATAGCGACAATTCTTTTAACCTCTTTAACAATCTCTTCTATAAAATCCGCCTCAGAGCTGCAGCAAAGTATATAGTTTAGTCTGCATATATAGTTTCACGGAAGGAAACGATATACTACAAAAGTGAAAGTTGTTAAACCAGTGAATATGTTGTTTTAAGGTGATATCCATTAGGAAGATCAACTGTTACATAATTAAGATGTACTATGAAGATCTAGACTCTTTAGACATAGGACTGTTACATTCACACTGTGGACCACTTGCCATGTTCTGTT